CCTTTTTTTTTTTTTTTTTGTCGACTCATTTCCTTTCAGCACTGATATTCTATCATCTGGATGTTCCACAGTTTATCCATTCACCTACTAAAACACATATTGGTTGCTTCCAAGTTTTGGCATTTATGAATAAAGCTGCTACAAATATCTAATTACACAGGTTACTTCACCCCTAACTACTATATATTTGCGTGTTTGTTTTTTTTTTTTTTATAATTATTTATTTTGAGGGAGAGCACTAGCAGGGAGGGGCAGAGAGATTAGGAAAAAGAGAATATCCCAAGCAGGCACCACACCAGCAGCACCGAGCCCGATACAGGGCTCAAACTTCTGAAACTGGGAAATCATGACCTGAGCCAAAATCAAAAGTCAGACGCTCAACCTACTGAGCCACTCAGGTGCCCCTGCATGTTGTTCTTTAAGAAAGATCATGTCATCTGTGAACAAAGAGGATTTTATTTCTTGATTTCTGGTTTGTCTGGCATTGATTGGGGGAAATTTTTAGTCATTGCATAAAGTTTTCTGTTCTTTCTCTCTTCTCGTATTTTTTTTATGTATGTGTAACATCTTTTGTAACAATTCTTGGATATTCCATTTTGTGTTTTTTTTGGTCTTTGTTTTGTTTTTTAGTTTTGGGAGTTTCTGTGGCCATATTCTCAAGCACAGAGATTCTTTCCTCGGCAGTGTACAGTCTACTAAGGGCACTGTCAAAGGCATTCTTCATTTCTCTTATAGTGTATTAGATCTCTACCATTTCTTTTTGATTCTTTGTTAGGATTTCTCTCTCTCTTACTTACATTACGCATCTGTTCTTTCATGTTGTTAATCATAGTTGTTTTGAATTCCTGATCTGATCATTCTAACATCCTTGCCGTGTCTGCCTTTCTGTGCTTGCTCTGGCTCTTCAAACTGTGTTTTTTGCCTTTTAGTGTTCCTTATAATTTTCGGTGGAAAGGTAGATAAGATGTGTTAGGTAAAAGGAACTGTGGTAAATGGGCCTTTATAATGTGATAGTAAAGAATGGGGCGTGGTAGCACTGTATAGTCCTGTGATTAAGTCTCTGTCTTGTTGAGCCTGTGCCCCTGGACTGTGACCTTCAGCAGTGCTTCTCATTCCCTTCTTTCAATTGGGAAGGATGGCTAGTGTGGCCTGAAATGGGGTATTTCCCTTTCCCTCATGTGGAAGGCTAAATGGAGCTAGATTGGGTCTTTCCGTTTTCCCAGGTTGGTTAGGTTCTGATAAAACTCCTACAAGGTTACCTTCTGGTAAAATAGTTGTTGGTGAGGGCAGACCTTGTTAAGAACAGAATGCTCTGGCATATTTCAAAATGTTTACTTTTCCTCTCCCCATGCTGGAAGTATGAAGGGATTTTTCTGCAGTGTTTACTGTGAGAACCTGGTAGAACTCCTTGGAGGTAAACTCACAAAAGTGTGAGGGCTCTCCATGACTGGGTCATCCTGCGGTTGTTAACTCTTAGATTTATCCCACTGAGCCTCTCGCAATCCATCAGTTACAGTTGAGGTTTTTTTGCCTTTATTGCTTCCTGCTGAGATTTCCACTCATGGCTTTTTGCTCCATTTACTTGGGATTCTCTGTATTTGCCCCCTGTCTTTTTTGGAGTACCAATTTATACTGTATACCACCACTTCTCTGGTGGATCTAAGAAGAGTTGTTCACTTTTGGTTTTTTCAGCTTTTTACTCGACAGAATGAAGTGGTAGCTTATAAGCTCCTTACATGTTGGACTGGAAACTGGAAGTTAGATCTATTTTTTTAATCAATAATTTCTCTTAAATAAATATTGTTCTGGCATTGCTGAAAAGCCAGAATCAAGGATGTTTGTACTGTTAGACCTTTTAGAGGTGGACTAATGGCTTAATGGCATTACCTTATAGATCAGAAGAACAAAGCAACACCAAACTCTTCAATATCCAGATGATTATAAAGTAAATAAAGATGATAAATTGTCCTTAGAAGCTAGTTTATCTAACTTTTAGAAAATGAAAGATGTTGGTGGATAATTGACCTATAAAATACTACATGAAATACATAATACACAAGACATGTTCTTAGAAATTTGCTGATGATAAAAGTAAATTTTTCTTGAGTGCCTGGCTGGTTCATTCAGAAGAGCATGTGACTCGATCTCAGAGTCATGAATTTGAGTACCATGTTGCATGTAGGGATTACTTAAAGAAATAAACTACAAAAAAAGGTAAATGGTTCTTTAGTACAATAACGCTTTGGTAAATGGATTCGTTATCCCAAGGCTTGTTTTGTTAGTTAAAAAAAAAATGAAAATGTTTTTTTCAATTATAGGATAATGTTAAGCATAAAGACTATATTGACCATCAGAAGGATAAAGTTGCTTTAACTCTGGCTCGTCTAGCCCGCCACGTCGAAGTGGAGAAACAGCAGAAAGAGGAGAAGAATAGAGCATTCAGGGTATGTGGTTGGTGTTTTTTAGTTGGTGTTTTACCAAATTATAGAATTGTTTAGAATACAATTGTAAAGAGAAACGTCATCAAAAAATGTGTAATTGAATCCAGTTCAGTATGGACTCTAGATAGCTCATTAATTTAGTAGTAATTCATAATAACTTTTTATATCTCTGTCTTTAGTTTGTTAGATTCTGATCATATATGTATACAGGAGAAAAAATTGACTGGGCTTTATTTTTGGGAATTAAAAATCATGGGATTTCTTACAGCAGATAAGCAACTAAGGGTTTCTGATTACTATATCACAAGGGTGAAAAGAGTTTATTGGTGCTTTCATAGATATAAGCTATTAAAAGAAAGGTTATTAGAAAGCTATTAAAAGAAAGGTTTTTCTACTAAATAGAATCAGACCGCTTTCTCAAACTTGAGCCTGTCCCTTCAGATTAAATCTATTACTAAAAGGAAGGAATTTTGAATCAGTTTGTCAAAAAGCTGCTATGTGGAAAATGAAGCCTAATTTAGAATATCTAATGATGTAAATCTTTTTCTTCACTTGCTTTAGAAGGCCCTGGATGAATTACTTAAACAATCCCTCAATACTGAGGCACTTGGCTGGCTCAGTCGATGGAACATGTGACTCTTGATGTGAGCATCATGAGTTTGAGCTCCACATTGAGGGTAGAATTTACTTTAAAAAAAAAAAATTTTTTTTTTTTTTAATAAAAATTAAAAAAGAATCCCTCAGGGCTGACAAATGTCTGTTAGGAGTAGAAAGTTGATGAGTTGGGTAAATAAAGCTTCATACTAGGACTTTGGCAATGGAAATTGAGGGGTGCCTGGTTGGCTCAGTCAGTATAACATGCAACTCTTTTTTTTTTTTTTTTTTTTTTTTTTTTTTTTTTTTGAGAGAGAGAGAGTGACAGCACACATATGTAAGGGAAAAGGGCAGAGGGAAAGCAAGAGAAAGAATCTTAAACAGGCTCCATGCTCAGCACAGAGCCTAATGTGGGGCTACATCTCACAACTGTAAGATTGTGACTTGAGCTGAAATCAGGAGTCAGGCCCTTAACCAACTGAACCACCGAAGCACTCCTACAACATGCAACTCTTGATTTCAGAGTCAAGAGTTCAAGTCCCATATTGGATGTAAAGCTTACTTTAAAAAAAAAAAAAAAGAAAAATTGAAATCATGGCACTACCAGCTGCTTGTTTGGGTTTCAGCAGGTCACTTAGCTTTTATAGACTTTGTACTTTAATTTGGTAGGGATAGAGTTGGAGATAATCTCCCAGGTTGGGATAAGCACTATGACTTTATAATTTTAACATCTGTGTTTTGATTGCTTGTCCATTGGTTATCTTAAAGGAATTTGTATATTTCTAGCCTCTGTTTTAGTATCTCCTAATTTGGTATAGAATAAATTAATATTCTTTACATTTAGAAATAGATTTGTTTGGGGACTTTTACTTCATAATGTAATACCAATTAAACTAGTGCATAGTATTCTAGTTGTATGTTTAAAATGTTTAATGCATAGAGATATAAAAAAAAAAAATAGGATCATTTCTTTCCTGGCAGAAATAATAATCAATTTTAAGGAAGATTTTTTTCCCCCAAAACTATGTTAAATGTATTGTTTATGGGTCATGGGGAAAATCTTGAGAGAGGGGTGATTTGCAAGCTGTCCTTTTCCACAGATTTCCTGAATGATGCTAGCTTCTTTTCCCAGGCAGTGTTCCCATATGGATAATAAAGCGTCTGTGATGAGTTCAGAATCTTATAGGCACTATGATAATTGGTGCTTTTCTCAAGGGTGGTTTCAGCTTCTACCCATATAAATGCTGATTTATTCTGTTAAAGACTTTACCTCAGCATTGAATGAACTTGAAATTGTGAGATTCTTGTTTAATCAGTTGTGAAGAATAAATGTATCTAAATTTCTTTTTTCTTAAAATTTCTTTTTTTTTTTTCCAAGTTTATTTATTTTGGGGAGGGGGAGGCAGAGAGAATCCCAAGCAGGCTCTAGCACAGAGCCAACATGGAGCTCAACCCACCAACCATGAGATCATGACCTGAGCCAAAATCAAGAGTCAGACGCTTAACCAACTGAGCCCCAGGTGCCCCGAGATTTCATTTTCCTTTTTTTTCTTTCTTTCTTTTTTTTTATGTTTATTTATTTTTGAGAGAGAGACAGAGCGAGAGTGGGGGAGGGCAGAGAGAGAGAGAGGGACACAGAGATTTCAAAGCAGACTCTAGGCTCTGAGCTGTCAGCACACAGCTGGACATGGGGCTCAAACCCGCGAACCTTGAGATCATGACCTGAGCCACCCAGGTGCCCCTAAGATTTCATTTTCTAAGGGAGAAAGTAGCACAGATGCTTTAGTTCACTGCTTGCTATCCATTCATGATTTTTTAAAATTTGGTTTCCTGTATAGATAACTTCTTTTTTGTTTTAACTAGATGACAGAAAACAAAAATAAACTACCCAGAAAGGAAGATAATGAAACAAAAATAAAAATAACTGTTGAGGAATTTTAGTGGATTATAATTCTGACTAAAACTAGATGTAGTAGAAAATATCTTCCAACTATTCTTAGGCCTTTGTGAATTATTGATATTTTACTATTAAGGTGAATTGTTCATCTTTTGTGATGGAGTGGTTTTATAGAAAAAAAGAAAATTCATTAAAACCTTCACTGCATATGGGGTACCTGGCTGTGTCAGTCAGTAGTGTGTGCAACTCTTGATCTCAGGGTCATGAGTTCAAGCCCTGCTTTGGGTGTGGAGCCTACTTAAAAAGAAATTTTAAAAATTCTTGGGGCACCTCAGTGGCTCAGTCGATTAAGCATCCCACTTTTGGTTTCAGCTCAGTTCATGATCTCATGGTTCATGGGTTCACACCCCACATGGAGCTCTGTGCTAATAGCGCAGGGCCTGCTTAGGGTTTTCTCTCCTGTTCTCTCTACTCTCTCCTACTTGTGTGCAAACACCTGTGCTCTCGTGCTCTCTCAAAGTAAATAAACTTCAAAATCTTCACTAGATAAATTACTTTCAGAGATAATGTTGTGTTGACTAGTTGACCAGCTACCAGCTTTGCTTGTGGCTATACTGTAAGAGTTAAGATGACTTACAAAAAGGGGTATAACCCTAAAGTTTGTGGAAGAAGCTTCATGACAAAGGAAAAGTAGTGGGTAATTTGGGGATGACTTCAGCCAACAAGTGTTTTTTGAGCATTGACTATCACCAGAGAGTTCAAATTCTGTTATAAAAAATGTCAGAACTTTTTAAAATTTGTTTATTTTTAAATTTTGACAATTTAAAATAAATAAGCTGTTGGCTGGCATGTAGTTGTACTTGATCTTAATCTAAGAGTTTTTATTGTGATAAATTTTTATAAGGAACTATGATAAGTAGTTTAATTTTGTACATTAGAAAACGTCTTTGGAGTCTACCAGAGGCTTACCATATTGCTTCTTTGGATAAACTAGCTTTGTTTTCCATAACATATTACTCAGAACACTAATACTGCAGGATATACTTTGGAAAAAAAATGTGATAATTTCTTGAGATACTGCATATTCTCTGTGTGGAAAATCACACAGACATTGACGCTTGAAGGCTTTGGAAGTCCTGCACTAAAGGAGACTTTTAAATTTTGTATTAAAACCATTGCTTCTATACTTACTTAATTTGATTATAGGGAATTTTTAAAATCTCTATATAATGCTTGTTAACATCTTTGAGAATTAGTGTCGTATGGCTGTACTTTGAACAATGTTGTATAGAAGATTTTTTTCAGATTTAAATCTTGAATCTCCCTGTTCCTCTACTTTTTGATAGAAGATCTTGTTGTATTGCTAACTAGGCCATTGATTATTCTGGCCTGTCTCTTACAAATCTAGCATTTGTGACTTTGTGATTTCTTTTTAAGAACAACTTTGTTGAGATGCAGTATGGTATACTAGTTAAGTGCATGGATTCTAGAATCAAATTGTGAGAGTTTAAATCCTGTCATTGTTATTTATCCTTGGGCAATTTATTTGACCTTTCTGTGTACCTCAGTTTTCCCATCATAAAATGCAAACAGTAATAGTACCTGTCTCACAAAGTTATTGTGAAAAATCTAAAATGCTTTTAGAATAATGGCATGATAAGTCATCAATAAGTGTTAATTGTTAGATATAGCATGATCAGACAGTATGCAAAAGATTTACAGGTAATATACAGGAAGAGTTAGAAACTAACAGTCTAAAGCACAAGTCTAATTTCATGGTTGGTCCTGGCCTGCCACCTTTTTTTGTAAATAAGATTTTGTTGGGACATAGCAATCCCCATTTGTTTACATGTTATCTATGGCTGCTTTCATGCAGAGTTGAGTAGTTGCAGTAGGGACTGTATGGTCTGCAAAACCTAAAAATATTTACTGGTCCGGCCCTTTATGAAAAAAGTTTGCCAGTTGTGGATCTAGATGGTAATAAATGCGTTATACTGGCACATACTCAGTACTAATGAATATCGGCTCTTATTCTAATACTATTCACTGAACAGATATTGAATAGGCTTCTGTATACTTCAGAACATATGTGGAAAATTCGAAAAGAATGTATACTGGTTTAAAAATGAAAATAATCATTCATATTTCCATTCCCAGAGATAGTCATTGACATTTTGTATATTTACTTTCAGCATTTGTTCCCCCTCTGCAGCAGATGTAGTTACATATAGCTTGAAATTAATATTTATTTATATTTGGCCTCATTTGTTTAATACTATTTGGTGATCTACTTGATATAAAAATACATTCCTACTTCACTGAAAAAGTTTGATTAATGTTTCTAATTGACTTTCACGAAATATATATACATAATTAAACAGTACCCATTGTTGGAGATGTAGGTTGTAGCAAACTTTGTGCAAATACAGATAACATTGGAATCAGTATCTTAGAGCATGAACCTTTGTTTTGACTTTTCTCTTTGGGATAGATGTCCAGATATGGAGTTACAGGGACAAAGGATAATCAGTATTTTCTGATCACTAGTATGTTAAAATCTTTTTCTTAAGGAAACCAGGTTAGTAATCAAAGGTTAATTAATTTTCTTCTTAATATCTTTAGGAAAAAATCGATTTTCAGCATGCTCATGGGTTACAGGAATTGGAATTTATTCGAGGACATTCTGATACAGAAGCAGCAAGACTGTGTGTGGACCAGTGGCTAAAAATGCCAGGTATTCTTTAGAGATCAGAGTGGAACACTGAGGTTACTGAGCTTCCCTAAAGCCTTAATGCATTATGTCTGTATTATTCAGTTGCTAGTAAGTGTATAAAGTATTGAAATTTAGTTTCAGTAATTAATAATGGCCTACTTTACCACTTGTCTTTCTACATTGGCAAACGTGTATTTTGATTATAATAGGCCATCCTTGATCTCATTAGATACTGCTCATGTATTTATTCGTGTTATTTTATAGTTGTTACATGGAATAGTGCATGTGTTTTGGGGAGGATTTTTAATGGATTATTTGGGGTCAGGAAAGGCTTCTCTAATGACATGGATTTTAAGCTGAGATCTAAAGAATTCATGTTTATTTATTTATTCATCAATGCAGCCTGTATAGATATTTGGAAGGAAGTGTCCACATGAGAGTCTCATCTAAAGCATTGGGTAGCCTCTTCACTAACTCTTTGCAGACCTTAGGTTCCTGAAAGAGTCACTATGGAACATTTTCCCCCCAACAGATAATTTGATGGAATCTTTAAGAGCCAGTGGGACAGTCACACCATGGCAGCTTTTCTAGCCTGTCTTGTAGACAAAACAGTGAGCCTTTTAAAGGCTTGGGGTATCCACAGAAATCTTAGCTGTGGATATAATCCACAGAAGATTTCATTGAAAAAGCCATTAGAAATATCTACTCATGCAGGGGTGCCTGGGTGGCTTAGTTGGTTGAGCATCTGACTCTTTATCTCGGGTCAGGTCATCTCACGGTTTCTTGAGTTCGAGCCACACATTGGACACTGTGCTGACACTGTGGAGCCTGCCTGGGATTCTCTCTCTCTGCTCCTCCCCACCTCTCACTGTGTGTGTGTGTGTGTGTGTGTGTGTGTGTGTGTGTGTGTGTGTGTGTGTGTGTGTGTGTGTGTGTCTCAACATAAATAAACAAACAAACAAAAGAAATAACTGCATGCAGTACTCAACTTGAACCTAGATATCTTGTTATTCTGAAGTTGTTTTCAGAGGGGTTTTCTTTGAATCAGATTACCACTGATGGGATAATTCCAAAGTTCTCTAGTGCGGTTTTTACCCTGTTATTTTGAATTGAAACGTTTGCATGTCTGTCTTTGTCAGACTCCACACTCTTTGGGGACAAAGACCAAGGTTTATAATTCTTTTTTGTGTGAGTGCCTAAAAAGAATGCTCAGCATAGAGATAATAAATGCTGGTTGAATATTAGCCAAAGCAGGCTATAATCATTTGCATATGAATACAGAAAGAAGCCTAGGACTTGAGTTCCAAATGTGACTGTCATTCAACTAAACAAAAGAATTGTTTGGCATTCCAGACCTACTTTAGCAAAAGATACTTAGAAATTGTGGTAAATGATTTTGCCTCTTGGGTTGTTCTTTGTAAGGCTTAGAGTAATAAAAACTTCCTCTTGATAAGCATTCTGTTCTTAGTGCAAGTTAATGACTTTAGTTCACTGGTTTCCCCTTAGCTACATCAGAGTCATCTGGGAGCTTTTAAATACATACCTTGGCTTCATCTCCAGAGATAATTCTAGGACATCTATAGTTTTGGAAAGATTCCTAGGTAGTTTTGATAGAGAAATGGACTATTTCATCTATAAGATGTCTTCTAAAAATAGTTCATCTCATGTGAATCTAACACCTTCAAGTCCTGTCTAGAGTGCTAGTTGGCCTGGTAATATGCCCCTTTAGGCATACCCCTGGCTTCCAGTTTGGCACAATATTTTAATTCCTTGTAAAATGAATTCATGAGCATCTGTTTATGGATCTGTCGGAGCAGGTCAGGGGGGAACAAATGAGTCATTTAGCTGTGTCTTCATGTCTTGGTAAGACTTGTTATTGTATATATCTTCAGGTCACACCTGATTCATTGGTGGTTAATGAGCTTAAGCGTGGATTTAAGGTCTTCAGTTATACTCTTTTTATAAGATGGTTTTATTTTTTTTGCTTGCTCCCTACAAAAATACTATAAAATGAAAGTTTGGGATCTATTTCTAGAACAGCTGCTTCAGCACTGACTATATTTGGTATGATGCTATTCCATAAATTATCTTTAGAAAGTGCTGAGATATTTGGATAGGGTATAGCTGGGGAAACAGAGATGAGTCATTGTTTTCTTAAATTACAGAAAGTGAGATTCTACTTTAAAGTAGCGCTAAGGGACTTGTTCAGTCTATTCCAAAGTATCCAGCTTTGTAATTCAGTTCTTTGATTAGAAGTAGTTTAAGTACTTTATTTATTTATTTATTTTTTTTTTTAATTTTTTTTTCAACGTTTTTATTTATTTTTGGGACAGAGAGATACAGAGCATGAACGGGGGAGGGGCAGAGAGAGAGGGAGACACAGAATCGGAAACAGGCTCCAGGCTCCGAGCCATCAGCCCAGAGCCTGACGCGGGGCTCGAACTCACGGACCGCGAGATCGTGACCTGGCTGAAGCCGGACGCTTAACCGACTGCGCCACCCAGGCGCCCCTTAAGTACTTTATTTATAATTACTCTACTAGAAATTCATCTTTTATAGATCTTTACAGTTAGGCCAGGTTGTATACATTTGAATATTTCATAACTTAAAAACAACACTCTCTTTTTTTTTTAAACTTTTTTAACCTTTATTGATTTTTGAGACAGAGAGAGCATGAACGGGGGAGGTTCAGAGAGAGATGGAGACACAGAATCTGAAACAGGCTTCAGGCTCTGAGCTGTCAGCACAGAGCCCGACGTGGGGCTTGAACTCACGGACTGTGAGATCATGACCTGAGCCGAAGATTAAAATATGATTAATGCTATGCTGTTCAGTGTTGGCAGAACACATTGATAAGCATTTTGGCAGCTTTTAATGGAGGCCTTCCCCCCATGAGGACTAAAACAGAAAAGCAGTTGAAACCTTAAGTTTGTATAATAACCATTTGGAGATCTTAAAACTAGATCTTAAAACTAGATGATGTTAAAAGAATAATTCATTCTACTTAAATCTTTAAGTTCTATTTAAATCTTTAAATCTACCATAAAGGTAAATAACTTAGTTTTCTATTGTATGAAATATTCAAGGTATTGAAACAACCCACAAATAGTTATAAAAGAGAGTCAATAATCAAACCGTCTGTGTATAATCATGTGATATACAGTCAGAATCCTCCTGGCAGTTTTACATTTCATGGTTTATACAGTGTGACTACAAAATTTCCATCATATATCATGCATTCAGAATTTCCCTGGGAACAAAATTTGGCCAGGGGTATTAGTCTACAAGAGTTGTGTGATTATAAAGAGAGGGGATGAAGAATGGATCAGGATAGAGGAAGATTAATTAAGAGAAAGTAGTGATGAAAAGGGGTGCTTGGCTTGCTCATTCAGTAGAGCCATGTGACTCTTGATCTTGGGGTTGTGAGTTCCAGCTCCTCTTTGGGCATGGAGTTTACTTTAAAAAGAAAGAGAGAAACTAGTGATAGGCAAACTTTGAAAGGAGAAAAAGAGGGGTGGCTGGGTGGCTCAGTTAAGTGTCCAACTTCGGTTCAGGTCATGATCTCAAGAATGGTTTTTGAGTTCAAATCCTAAGTTCAAGTCCTGTGTCAGGCTCAGTTCTTATAGCTCGAAGTCTAGAGCCTGCTTTGGATTCTGTGTCTCCCTCTGTGTCTCTGTTCCTCCCCCACTGGCACTTACTTTCTCGCTCTCTCTGTCGCTCAAATAAGATTTTAAAAAAATTTTTTTTACATGAAAGGAGAAGAAGAGGGACAAAATAGAATAAATAGGAAAGAGGTAGTAACAATAAGTAAATCTCTGCTTTGTGTTCTGTAAATTTATTACTGAGATCTGCATTATTTGATATCCAGGTTGGAACTCATTGGTCAATGGCTGGTTTCTTCAGAAAGTACCACTCTTATTTTCCTTGCCTCCCTGAACTCTCCACTCTTCCCCGCTCTCCCAGCTGTATTTTTTAACATAATTTTCAGAGAACCCCAATCTTTTATAATATAGCTAAATCTTCTAATGTGTTTAAGATCGTTAAAAGAGAAAAAAAAATTAGATCTTTGCCAGTTTATATAAATGAGAAAGAAGGGTAGGGGTCTGTGGAGCAACTGCTTTTCTAATCAGTATTTAATGTTTGACATTTCTTGGCTGTTGAACTTAAGAAAATAGAGTTTTTTCCCCCCAGAGAATGTTACTTAAAGATGTTAACAGCATTCAGGACTCCTGACTGGCTCAGTCAACAGAGCATGTGACTCTTGATCTCAGGGTCTTGAGTTCAAGACCCACACTGGCTGTAGCAATAATAAACATACAAACAAACTTAATCCCTATACCTATTTCAAAAACAAAAAGAAAGGGCACCTGGCTAGCTGAGTCAATAGAGCATGTGACTCTTGATCTCCGGTTGGAAGTCCGAGCCCTACATTGGGTATAGAAATTACTTAAAAAAATAAAATCTTTAAAAAACAAAAAAAAGATGTTAACAGCTTTATTTGTCCCAATAACTATTTATTTTTAGGTTATCATATGTTTTATTAGAAAGCCAAGAAATTTTTAATTATAATTAGGATCACCCAGTTGATGCTATTTCATAGTATTTATTGTTTTGCCATAATTTTGGTTACCTGTCCAAAGGACAAATATCTGAAGTAGGAACTTAAGAATTTGTATTCCAATAATGCAGGACTCAAAACAGGCACAATTAATTCTGGGAAAAAAAGTTCATTCCGAAGAGGAGGCCAGATGCAGGTGTCTGGGAAACCAATTTTATGTCCCATAATGCACTGTAACAAGGAATTTGATAATGGACACCTTCTCTTAGGACATTTGAAAAGGTGAGTGTGATACTCAGAATAGTGGATACTAAAGAGCAAATGTGTTACAAAGTGATTTCATATAATGAAAGCATGATGCACTCATGCCATTGTAACCATAGCTTTATATTCCAGACAAATTGTTTTATACTCTTATGATAGTTATTTTAAATTTATATTTCTTAGGTTTCCTAGAAGGCCTAAAGTCAGATTTCTCTAGTTATATTCTTTTCTTTAAAGACTTGTAGCATTTAAGTATGTATTTATCCTAATATGTCTCATAAAATTTTGAACAGATTTTTACATTGATATGCAGTTGAATCCGTTGTAGAGAAATCCAGCCCATAAATGCAAATTTCAAGAGACACAAAACACTTACAGATATTTGGTTTAGCCTAAAGAAAGCTAATATGTTATTACAAAAGAAATGTTAAAAGCAAACCAAATGTAGCAAAATTAATAATAAATATTCTATTTATAAATCTATCTTATTAACTTACTGATTTTTTTAATAGTAGAGCTTGAGAAAGTAAATATCAGGGAAAAGCAGTATTAAAGGTATTAAACATTCCTACCTTCATAATCTCTCCTTCTAATAGTTTAAAGATGGAAATTGAGAATTTGGGGTCTCACAACCTTTTTCATTTCTAGATGTCTCACCCTACTTATGCATTAACCTACCTATAGAGCCTTTTGTATGGTCTTCAGCATCCTATAAATAACTAGGTAGCATACTATATCTAAAGAGTTCTTAAAAGTCTTTGAGGCAGTTTAAAATGACACGTACTTATTAAATGATTAAAGTGAACATTAAAAGGATTAAAAGCCATTTTTAGGAAACAGGTGTGTGCCAGAAATCTTGACATGAGATTATAATTCTGTTGATTCATTTACAACTATTAGTAAATATTGTGGCAAATAAGGCAAAAAGGAAAAGATGATGGCTCTATAACTTTCAGACTGGAATTGTACCAGTTTGGCAAGACATGCTTAAATCCATTTTACTGGATCTTAGATACTTTTATGAAATCTTGAGCTAACTGTTGGTCACTGTTTGAAGGGATTGTGTGGCATTTAGGAGTCATTTGATATTTCTTGAACATGAAGAACGTTTTTAATATTTCAATAGAAGAGTATAAATTTCTGAGTGTGTTGTGTGTATGTGTGTGTAAACAAATAAGCAAATGCTTAACAAATGAAGCAACATAGTTTGGCTCCTAAAATGTGGACTTTTCTAATGCTACCTCTCTTTTGTCGAGTAGGTTTGATCACTCTCCATGTGATCCGACAATTACACTACATGGACCATTCGTCAATTCCTTTGCTTGTGTAGTATGTTACAAAAATTTTGTTACTCAACAGCAATATAGGGATCATCTTTTTGCTAAGGTAAGAGGATGTCCTAAGAGTAGGTATTTTTTCTAGAGAAGCATGGAATTTGATGCAAGTGTTTTCTTGCTGCTCTTAAGCCTGTAGTCACTAGTGGTGCACATAAGGGTCAAGAGTAAAATGATTGGAACATTAAATTTTTGTGGACAGGTAAACTTTATGACTGAAAGCCAGCACTCCTAAAGATTATCATCGAAGCCCTTCCTTTGATGGAGTTGCTCTGTGGAATTAACGTTCTTCAAGATGCTTATGATGAGAACTAGAACTTTAATCTTAAGTCTGCTGCCTTTCACTGCCTGTTGAAATGTTGGAGCCATCTAGTAAATTAAATAACAATTCCTTTATTAATGCTAGTGTTAAGAAATCTAGTATACAAAAGGTTGTTTTATGTAACTCACATTAGGTGTTAAATCTCAAGGGAGACAGGTTGATTCATGGCATACACAAATCTGTATAATAGATGATTCTGTAGTGTGTGTTTACTATATTTGAAATTATATATCTATAATGACTTATTAACGTTACAAAATGTTACTTGTGCAATATGTTCACTGTGGAGAAAATTTTTTTTCATTTTAAAAAAAATTTTTTTAATGTTTAGAGAGAGCACAGGTGGAGGAGGGGCAAAAAGAGAGAGTGGGACAAAGGATCCAAAGCCAGCTGTGTGCTGACAATAGGGAGCCCAAAGTGGGGCTTGAAATTAAGAACCATGAGATAATGACCTCATGGTCATTGGATAATGGCCGAAGTTGGACACTTAACCAACTGAGCCACCCAGGTGCCCCTTAAGTTTTTACTTTATGAACGCTCAGTGTTCATCATGACAAGTATACTCTTCAATCCCTATCACCTATTTCACTCATCCCCTCTAGTAACCATCTGTTTATTCTCTATAGTTAAGAGTCTGTTTCTTGGTTTGTGTCTCTCTCTCTTTTTTCCCCTTAGCTCATGTTTTGTTTCTTAATCATACCTATGAGTGAATTTATAGGGTGTTTGTCTTTCTCTGCAGATGGCAAGATTTCATTCTTTTTTATAGCTGAGTAATATTCCATTGTGTATATATACACCACATCTTCCTTATCCATTCATCAATCAATGGATACTTGGACTATTGTAAATAATACTGCTATAAATATATGGGTGCATTATCACTTTGAATTAGTGTTTTTGTGTTCTTTGGGTAAATACCCAGTGGTGCGATTACTGGATCACAGAGTAGTTCTATTTTTTAACTTTTTAAGGAACCTCCATACTGCTTTCCAGAGTGGCTGCACCAGTTTGCATTTCCACCAACAGTACACAAGGGTTCCTTTTTCTCCACATCCTCGCCAGTACTTGTTTCTTTTGTTTTTGATTGTAGCCATTCTGACAGATAAGAGGTGATATCTCATTATAGTTTTGCTTTGCATTTCCCTGATAATGAGTGATGTTGAGCATCTTTTCATGTGTCTGTTGGTCATCTGAATGTCTTTGGAGAAATGTCTGTTCATGTCTTCTGCCCATTTTTTAATTGGATGATTTGTTTTTTGACTGAGTTGTATAAGTTCTTTATATATTCTGGATACTAACCCTTTATCGGATATGTCATTTGCAAATGTCTTCTCCCATTTAGTAGGTTTCCTTTTAATTGTGTTGATTGTTGCCTTTGCTGTGCAGAAACTTTTTATTTTGATGAAGCCCCAATAGTTTATTTCTGTTTTTATTTCCCTGGCCTTGGTAGAAATATCTAAAAAATTCTTGCTATGGCCAATGTCAGAGATTACTGCCTGTACTCTCCTCAAGGATTTTTATGGTTTCAGGTCTCACATCTAGGTCTTCAATCCATTTTTAGTTTGTTTTTGTGTATGGTGAAAGAAAGTGGTCCAGTTTCGTTTCTTTTTTTTAATTCTATTTTTTTTTAATGTTTATTTATTTATTTTGAGAGAGATAGAGGGATAGGAAGAAAGAGAATCCCAAGCAGGCTCCACATTGTCAGGACAGAGCCTGACATAGGGCTCAAACTCATGATCTGGGAGATCGTGACCTGAGCTGAAATCAAGAGTTGGACCCTTAACCAACTGAGCCACCCAGGTGTCTCCAGTTTCATTCTTCTCCATGTTGCTCTCCAATTTTCCCAGCACCATTTGTTGAGAGACTATCTTTTTCCCATTGGCTATTCATTTCTCCTTTGTCAAAGATTAATTGACCATATAATTGTGGGTTTATTTCTGGGTTTTCTGTTTTGTTCCATTGATCAATATGTCTATTTTTATGCCTGTGCCCCACTGTTACAATTACTATACCTTTGTAATATAACTTGAAGTCTGGAATTGTGTTACCTCCCGTTTTGTTTTTCTTTTGCAAGATTGCTTTGACTATTCAGGGTCATTTGTGGTTCAATACAAATTTTATGATCATTTGTTCTAGTTCTGTGAAAAATGCTGTTGGTATTTTAATAGGGATTACATTAAATTTGTAGATTGCTTTGGGTAGTATAGACATCTCAACACTATATGTTCTTCCTATTCATGAGCATAGATCATCTTTCCATTTCTTTGCATCATCTTGAATTTCTTTCATCAGTGTTGTATGGTTTTCAAAGTATAGGTCTTTCACATTTTTGGCTAAGTTTATACCTAGGTATTTTATTGGTTTTGGTGCAGCAGGTTCAGTACACACAAAACAATCAATGTGATATATCAATAAGAAAAAGGATAAAAAACATTTCAATAGATACAGGAAAAGCATTTGACAGAGTACAATATCCATTCATGATAAAATCCCTCAACAAAGTAGGTCTAGAGGGAACATAACCTCAACATAAAAAAGGCCTTTTGTGAAAAACCTACAGCTAACATCATACTCAGTGGTGAAAAACTGAGAGCTTTTCCCCTAAGGTCAGGAACAAGACAAGAATGTCCACTCTCACCACTTTCATTCAGCATAGTACTGGAAGTCCTAACCACAGCAGTTGGATAACAAAAAGAAATAACAAAGATCCACACTGGTAGGGAAGAAATAAAACTTTCAGTATTTGCAGGTGACATGATACTATATATAGAAAACCCTAAAGATTCCAAGAAACTACTAGAACTAATAAATGAATTCAGTAAAGTAGCAGGATACAAAATCAACGTACAGAAATCTGTTGCAATTCTATACCCTAATATGAAGCAGCAGAAAGTGAAATTAAGAAAAAATCTGATTTACAGTTGCATCAAAAACACTTATAAATATTTTTATATAAGATCAGGTGTGTGAGTTTTTCTGTAATTAAGAAAATCAGTGTATTAGGAGCATCTAGGTGTCTCAGTTGGTTGAGTGTCTGATTCTTGATTTGCCTCAGGTCGTGAGTTCACAATTAGTGAGTTCGTGCCCCAGCTCTGTGCTGACAGTGTAGAGCCTGCTTGCGATTCTCTCTTCCTCTTTCTCTGTCCCACTCCCTGCCCCCTTGCATGCATGCATGCTCGCTCTCTCTCTCTCTCTCTCAAAAATAAACTTAAAGAGAAAAGCAGTGTGTTGTAAACATGAGTGCTTAAACATTTGTTGAATCGATGCATACACTTTAAGTCAATGAATAGTATTCTTCTGTATGAATATATTATAGTTCATTTAATTTCCTCTTAGATGTATCAGTTGTTTCATTTTTTTGTTATTAAAAGCAATACCACATTAAATATCCTGATAGCTTAAAACCTATAATGAATCATAGCTGTGAATACAACGATATGCTGAGAGCTGTGAATCCTAGCAAACCATCAAACCTGGGGATGATTTGGGGGACTCCCAACACAAGTGATAACCTTAATACTGGCAAGAGGTTATTGTAATAGGACAGTGACATGATGAAAATAATGCTTTATACCTTTTAGAGTTAGAAGGACTTTTAATTCTAGAACCCAGTTCCTTCTCTTTCTTAGGGATACCAAAGAGATCGAGTGGTATTAGGATGGTAGCAGTGTTCAAGGTGGATTCATAGGTGTAGAAAGGAGACTGCTTTAGGTGACTTTTGCAATAATTTAACTTTGAGATGAAAAAAGGCTTTGCTTAGGTAATGGCATTTAGAATAAAGACCTTAAAGTGAAACAAAAAGAAATGACAGGGCTTCCTCTTGTGACAAAGGTTTAAGGAGAGAAGAGAAAAATGATACAAGAGGACTGCGTTCCATAAATTTTTTTGGTGTTTTCACTTGGTGACTAGTATTCTTCCTTTTTCGAAACTAGAGTTCTTTCAGAGCCTGTTTCCCTATTCCAGGCTGTAAGTGTTTTGTCTATTTTAGTGAGCAAATTATTTATCTTTTTTCTTTAGTAAATCTGAATAGGTATTTTAACCTTAATTAATACTCTCATTTGTATTTTCCCAAATTTCATTAATTTGTTCCCTTTTTTTCTGAGAATTACTTATTCCATGTTGTTTTGCCTGGTCTCCAGGAAGTAAATTTATGATATTTAGCCTTCTGAGAAGCATTATGGTAAAATGGAGCAAAGGCTTTGATGTCCAGACAGACCTGGATTCTACTGTCGCTTTTATTAGCTGTATGTACTCAGCAAGTTAAGGAACATCTCTGAGCTTTATTTGTCTCTAAAATAAAATTGTTATACTTACATGCAAGATTGTTGAGAGAAAATATAATTCTTTCTAAAGCACTTAGGCCTTAAACAGCTCTCATTAAATGCTCCTTATTGCTTATTCTTTGGAGAGTCCGTCACCAGAACTCTAAAGGAAACTGGTATGCACTAATTATAATTGCCTATCTTAAATCAGCCAGAAGAGGTCACTAGAAGATTGTATACCTGTGAATTCTGTTTTGTAAAGATGGCATTCTTCAGTGAAAGAGAATGAAATTAACCACAATTTGCATTTTTGGCCTTGCTTCCCTCCTCTTTCCCTTTCGTCCCCAATTTCTTCTGTTTATGCTAATGTTTCTTAAACTTAATACACTAATCACTTGGGAATCTTGTAAAATGCAACTTCTGATAATAAATTGAGGTGGGACCTTGGATTCAAGATTCCTAACAAGCTTGTAGGTGATGCCAGTGCTTCTTGTCCTTGGGTCACACTTTGAGTAGTAGCCAGTGTCTAGTGGTTTTTAACATTAAAGCCATTCAATGAGTGGTATATCACTAGATAGCTTCCTGCTTTTCTTCCGTTTAATGCAGGTGGTAGAGGACATATTGTAAGCTTCAGTGTACCTCAGTGTCAATTGTGGGTCAATAGGCACAACCACTCTTTCTCATTCTCTTCCTAGGGGCCAGCCTATCATTTAAGGTTATTTTTCCCTGTTGTTAGCCCATCCTCCCTAGCCCTAGGCAACCTGTAAACTATGGTTTTGCCTTTTCTGGGCATTTCAAATAAATGGAATCTTAAAATATGTGGCCTTTTGTGACAAGATTCTTTTATTTACCATAATGTTGTCAGGGTTCATCCATGTTGTAGCATATCAGCACTTCATTCCTTTTTATTGCCAAGTAACATTCCAGCATATGGATATATGCCACTTTTTCTTTATCATTTCATCACTTGGTGGACACTTGAGTTATTTCTACTTTTTGGCTGTTGTGAATAATGTTGCTATAAATAAATGTATAAATCTTCGTGTGAATATGTCTTTACTTGTCTAACAGGTTAAATTGTTGGGTCATATCATACTTATGTTCAGTTGTTTGGAGAACTGCCAAGTTGTTATCCAACACACTGTACCATTTTACTTTCTTACTAGCAATATATGCAGATGCCAATTTTTCCACATTCTTATCAACACTTATGTGCCTTTTAAGCTAGCCTAGATCCTAGTGGGTAAAAAGTAATATTTTATTGTGGTTTAACTTGGTTTAGATATACAAATGTGTATGGTGTATTTTATTTTAATATAGCTGAAAATATAGTGGTAGAAAAGAATTGAATAACTATTTCCCACTTATTCCCCTAGTTTGCATGAGCTAATATGCTATGCTTTTGCAATTGTTATATTTCAATAAAATTTTATGTAGGATCACATTCTTGTTCTATTGAGCAAATATTTTAAACAAGCTTTATATTGAATCCATTTATAACTCACAGTTGAACTAAGAATTATTTTGTTAGCATTCTTCAAGTTAGGGACATTTTTATAAATTGGTGTTTAAGAAATGCCGTTAGTGCTCTTATTTAGAGCTTTCTAAGTATCTTCTTAGATGTGATCTTCTGCAGGGCACTCACTAAATTAAAATGGGGTAAGGTATAGTGGAAAGAGCATAGAATTTTTAATCAAAGGTATAAGACTGTTTGGTTATTTTGTCTCTTCCCAGGGTACAACTTGATTGGAGGGAAGTGTTGACTTAACTAAATTTAGTTTTCTCATTTATAAATAATGAAAATAGTACTTCATGGGACTATCGTAAGGACTAAATGGAAAAGCACGTTTTGAACCCTAATGTGCTTCTTCACATGTGCTCAATATAAATGTAAATTTCTTATTCCTCTTTCTGTTGCATCTTATTAGCACTATATAAACTTTCTATATCCCTAATGTTAATGATTGTAAATTTAAAAAGACACAGTACAACTTCTAAGGCTATTACTCTAAGGACCATTAACAAGATGTCAAATTATATTTATACACAAGCACATATACACAGACATAAATATAGATACTTTAAAGTATTTTCAGCTTTGGGGCGCCTAGCTGACTCAGTTGGTAGAGCATGTGACTCTTTTAAAATTTTTCTTTTTTTTTCTTTTTTTTTTTTTTTTTTTTTTTTTTTTTTTTTTTTTTTTGAGATAGAGCGTGAGCAGGGAAGGGGCAGAGAGAGAGGAAAACACCAAATCAGAAGCAGGCTCCAGGCTCTGAGTTGTCAGCACAGAGCCTGACACGGGGCTCAAACCCACGAAGTATGAGATCATGACCTGAGCTGAAGTCAGATGCTTAACTGACTGAGCCACCCAGGTACCCCAAGCATGTGATTCTTAATCTCGGGGTCATGAGTTGGAGCCCCGCACTGGAGGTAGAGTTTACTTTAAAAAAAATTTTTTTTTTTATATTTAGAACATTTTCAATTTTGAGATAGAGGAGCCTCTTAACCAAGTGGACACCTAGAAAGACATACCTGTTTGACTATATTAAAATTTTAAATTGACCACATCACAATTCATAGATATTTGAAAAATGCTTGCAAAATGGAGCATCAGACAGAAAGTTAATTTTTATAATGAAGAAATGATACAAGTTAACCGGCAGGGGAGAAAACAAAACCAACTGAAACATCAGACAAAAGGGTATGAGTAAGCAATCCACAGAATATGGAATATCCATAGAATTGTATGAATTAAAAAAAAAAAATCTATAGTAGCTATTGTACCAGGCTCATTCATTGCTAGGGAATGTGTGAATTGGTAGAGCCTATTTGAAAAACAATCATACAGTATCCTTTAATATTCAAGTAATAAACCTTTTAACTCAATAGGGCCACTCCTAATAATGAGAAAAATACGTCTGTAAATAAGGATATGTATTCAAGGTTGTTTATAACACCGTTGTGTTATTGCTTCTTGGCCTTTTGGCTAAGATCAAGTGTAGTATATGTTCTTATCAGTTTGTAACACCATTGTTTTGTTTACAGTGGCAAGAAAAAAAAAGTCTGGTAATGAATAGTTACCTAAGTCTTAGTAAACCTACACTGGTTTACAACCAGTTGAGAACTTTGCAACCATTGAGAAGAATGAATTAGAGGTATTCCAGTTGATTTTTTTAGGCATTTTCATTAGGTATTGTGGAATAAGAGAACTAAGAAGCAGAAGAGTCTGTAAGATGACAATATTTGGTAAAACAGTGGCAGTTCCCTGTGTGTTTATTTCTATATATTTTTGTAGATTATTAAGCATGGAGATATTTGTGGAAGAATACATATATAAACATAGGTTATATTGCAGAGTAGAGTGAATAAAGCAAAATGGAAGAAAAAGTGTATGTGATATGAAAACATTTATTCATTAACATAATATAGATGTGTATATAAAAGAAAAATATATAGAAAGCAAATTTACTTGTATATTATCACAAAAAGATGGTGAAGAGTTAACAAAAAAAAATTTTAATCCACATAGGCAATTTAATGATAAAAATTCCATAGTTCACACTGAGGAAAGAAAAGTTCTCTTGTTAAAAATTGGTACAGAATATTCCAAATCAGAAATTTTGAAAGTTGATTTTTAAAAATTGAATATTGATTTTAGTTGTCTGTAATACAGCTTTGCTTGTATTTTAGGAAGCTGCAGATGATGGACATAAAAACAACCTTCTTCCTCAGATTATTCAGTGTTTTGCATGTCCAAATTGCTTCCTTCTTTTTAGCAGCAAGGATGAGTGTTTGAAGCATATGTCTGGAAAGAATCATTTCCATCAGAATTTTAAACTGAGTGGTATGTTAATACTCTGTTCTGAAAATTATTAAAGTACTTTAATCTTTGCTGATTTACCATACTTCTCAGATAATTCTTGAGGTAACTTATCCTCACATTGGATTGGAAACATGAAAGTGAAAGATTGTCTTAATTTTTATTTTTCAAAAAAGATTCTCAACATTGATCTGTACCAGCAGTAAGGTTTAGTTACTTTGAGGAATGAAGAGAAACTTGGAAAGAAAGCATTTCTTTATGTAATAAATATAAAAAATAATTTTTGATGTAATAATAATTTTTATATATCCATAACATCTGGGAAGTTGGGTGTTTCTCTGCATTAAAGGTTCAGATTTTGAGCATGAGTTCAGCATCCTTTGTACTTACAGCTGGAAAATGACTTCTCTTAGTTTTTTAGCACAACAATCTTTTACATATTCCAGCCAATGTTGAGCAAGGCAAAGGGGAGGAAGGTTGGGTTGCTATCTGCTTAAATCTTTGCAAGTTATAGTGTATTTTGTCTTTCAGATGACAAGGGAATAGCACAGCCAATATCATTTCCATCTTTTGCAAAGAAACTTCTGATCTCTCTCTGCAAAGATGTCCCATTTCAAGTTAAGTGTGTGGCCTGCCACCAGACACTACGTTCTCACATGGAGCTCACTGCCCACTTCAGGTTTGTACAGGTCTAGTCGGGCTGTAAGGGAATCCTGCCCAAGAAGCTCTTTACCAGCAGGAGGATTCAATAGGATGTTTTTCTATTTCATGTTCCTCTGCTTTTAAAATGAGATTATATATTAGTCTGGAAATTAATCAAATTTAACATAATGAGAGAAGTTGAAGGTGTGGAAAAAGTGGATATATTGATATTGCTGTGAATGTAAAACCAACAGTTCTATTTGTGTTTTTCTCTCTATGTTTGTGAAGAGTGTGTGTATGGGGGGAGGAGTGGGTTAACTTGCCTTTAAGTGTGACTTGCTTTTAAGTCAACCAGAATGGAAAGTATAATATACATATGAAAATTAAATTTCAGTGAAAGACCAAATTTATCAAATAATCAAGTGTGATTTTTTTTGTCTTTGCAATGGAAATTATCAAGCAATGTACAACCCCAGTATACCTTTTACCCAGCTTCAGGATTTAGCAACACCTGGCAGTCGTGTTCATTTATATTCTCACCCCCCTGCAAGTTATTATTTTGCGGTAAATCATGTCATTCTATCTGTAAATACTTCTATATATAACTATAAATGATAAGGATTCCTTTTTTTAAAAAAATCCTATAATACCATTATCACAACTTAAAAAACTGGTATTTTTAATAGCATCAAATACCTAATCAGTTATAAAATTTCCCTGATTATCTCATAAAGTTTTTTGTTTTACATTTGGTTTCTTGGAATCATGATCCAAACAAAGTCTGTACATATTTTCTATTTAGGTGCTCTGTCTCTTAGGTCTCTGTTTTCCTGTTATATCATTAAAATATATTAAAAGTTCGTATCTACTAAATTGCATTCATTTAAATAGAACAATTATTTTCACAAACCTTCGAGTAAAATATGTTCTCAATAAACAAGGCAGTAGAATATAATTACTCTGTATATACCCAGTGTAACTACTAAGGTTAGCAGTCCTGGTTCTGACTTATATTTCGTGAGTTCAAATCCTGGTTCTACCTGTTATTTTTATTCTTAATGTTTTATTATGTAAAATTTCAACTGTATGAAGTCAGCAGAATAGTCTAGCGAACCTCCATTTACCCATTTTATTCTATACATCTTTATGCTCCTTATTCCCCTTATTTTTTTTAAAGTTTATTTAATCTGAGAGAGAGAGTGTGTGTGTGTGCACCAGCAGGGGAGAAGCAGAGAGAGAGAGAGAATCCCAAGCAGGCTCTGCACTGCCAGCACAGAGCCTGATGCAAGGCTCAAACTGACAACTTAAGAGATCATGATCTGAACTGAAATTGGACGCTTAACTGACTGAGCCACCGAGGCGCCCCAGCCCCTTAATTATTTTTAAAAGTTCTTTGTTTTTGAAATACAAATTAAATTAATCACAGTGTACACATCTTAACTTTTATGATTTTGACATAAAATCACAGATAGATACCTACATCTGTTAACCTATGCTTTTATCATAATATGTTACCTGTCTGTGGAAAGTTCCATTGTGTCCCTTTCCAGTCATTTCCCACCCTCTTACCCTGCTTGCCCTAGATATTCTTTCCACCTTGCATTGGCTTCATCTCCTTGAGAACTTCATGTAATTGAAATCATGTGTATGTACTCTCTTGTATTTGTCATAATATCTGCGAGATACACCTATGTTGCTTAGTACATTGTTCCTCTTTATTGGTGAGTAGTATTTTATTATATGAACTTAGCACAATTTGTTTATTCATTCTCCTGATGATGGGCATTTGGATTTAAAGTTTTTAGCTATCATAAATAAAGCCACTGTATATATTTTGTACAAGTCTTTTATGGACATATGTTTTCATTCCTCTTGGATTAATATCTAGGAGTGGAATTGCTGGATCAAAGAGTAAGTGTATATTTAATTTTATAAGAAACTACTACATACTTTCCCAAAGTGTTTGTACCAACAAGGTATGAGAGTGCCAGTTTCTCTGCATCCTTGCCAAGGTTTGGTATCGCCAGTCTTTCATTTTAGCTGTTCTTTGAGTGCCTCTTTGTGGTTTTAATCTGCATTTCCCTGATAAACAATGATGTTGGGCACTTTTTCATGTGCTTATGGATGATTCATTTATCTTTTTTTGTGAAATGTCTGTTCAAGTATTTTGCTAGTTTAAAGATTGGATTGTTTGCTTTTTTCATAGTGAATTGGAATTCTTGATATATTCTAGATGTAAATATTTTGTCAGAAATATGTGACTATATTCTGTCCCAGTCTAGACTTTGCTATCATATTAATTATGTCTTTTGTGGCTGTCCATCCTCTTTCCTGAGTATCCTTTGCTTATTCTTCAGGAATATATTTTGTTTACTTCAACTTTTATGAATGTCAGCTTTTTTAAAGTTTTTTGGTTTTTTTAGCGTTTATGTTTATTTCTATAATTTGTCTCAAAACAAATTTTTGCTGATCTTTGAAACCACCAGCATTTGACTTTACCGATGATTCTCTGCTGTTTGCCCATTTTTTACTTTGTTGATTTCTGCTCTTTAAACTTTGGGTTTATGGGGCACCTGTGTGGCTCAGTTGGTTAAGCGTCTGCATTCGGCTCAGGTCATGATCTCATGGCTTGTGAGTTTGAGCCCCACGTTGGGCTCTGTGCTGACAGCTCAGAGCCTGGAGCCTGCCTTGGATTCTGTGTCTGTCTGTCTGTCTGTCTGTCTCTGTCTGTCTGTCTGTCTCTCTCTCTCTCTCTCTCTCTCTCTGTCTCTGCCCCTCCCCCATTCACGCTTTGTCTCTCAAAAAAATAAAAATAAACATTTAAAAAATTAAACTTTGGGTTTAATTTGCTTATGTTTTTCTAGCTTCCTATAGTAGAAGCTTAGATTGACTTTGGACCTTCTTTTTCTGTATAAACATTTAAAGTTATAAGTTTTCCTCTAAGCATTGAATTACCCTTAGATTTTGATAGGTTGTTTTCTTTTTCATTTATTTAAAAATATTTTCCCTTTTCCCTTTTAATTTCTCCTTTGACCCATAGATTTAGTAGAAATTTGTTGTTTAACTTCTAAGGATTAGGGATTCAATTTCCAAATATTTGTATGAATTTTTTTGATCCTTTGATTCTAGTTTTACTGTTCTGTACATGGATTAGAAAGAGACAAAATATAGGTAATACTCAGGTACTCTGAGGTAAAATTATTCTGTAACCTGCATTTTTATTGAAAAATATCTTTTAGTGCTTTTTGTATACATTGTTTATAATTCCTATAAAAAGCAGAGATACTGTATTTAGAAAGTACTTACAAAAGAGGTTTTTTTCATCTAATTTAGAGTTCGTTGTCGAAATGCTGGTCCTGTAGCTTTGGCTGAGAAGAGCATTGCCCAAGTTGCAGAAAAATTCGTATTAAGAGGTTACTGTCCAAATTGCAACCAAGTCTTTGCGGATGAAACCAGTACCCGAAATCACAAGCAGAATTCAGGGCACAAAGTCCGAGTCATTACCTCAATGGAAGAATCAGTCTTACTTTATTGCCATAGCAGTGAAGGGAACAAACCTTCTTCTGACTTGAATCTCTTGCTAGATCGATCAAAATTTTCATCACTTAAAAGAACCATGTCTGTTCAAGAATCTAACTCACAAGATTGCACCACTGTTCCAAAAAAGAAGATGAATTTAGAAGGTAAAAGCCACGAAGGTACAGTTTGTGTTCAGAAAGAAAAGTCATTTGTTAAAACCTGGTTTTGTGAATGCCATCAACAATTCCTAAGTGAAGATGCAGTAGAAAAACATGTTTTCTCAGCAAACACAATGTGTTATAAGTGTGTGGTCTGTGGAAAGGTATGTGAAGATTCAGGGGTCATCCGTTTACATATGAGCCGGATTCATGGAGGGGCACATTTAAATAACTTTCTTTTCTGGTGTCGGACATGCAAAAAGGAGTTAACAAGAAAAGAGACTATCATGGCACATGTGACTGAATTTCATAATGGACACAGATATTTTTATGAGACGGATGAGGTAGAAAGTGAAACTTTGCCAACATCCTCTGCAACATTGGTGAGTAATTTGACTGCTAAGAATCCTTCAACTATTACTATTATTGATCATTCTCCAGCAAATAGTCCTCCAAGGGGTAAATGGCAGTGCCGAATTTGTGAAGATATGTTTGATTCCCAGGACTGTGTAAAACAGCATTGCATGTCTTTAGCAAGTCACCAGTTTCATAGATACAGCTGTGCCCATTGCAAAAAGACTTTTCACAAGGTTGAAACACTGTACCGACATTGCCAAGATGAGCATAACAATGAGATAAAAGTTAAGTACTTCTGTGGGCTTTGTGATCTTACCTTTAATGTGGAAGAAGCATTTTTAAGTCATTATAAGGAGCACCACAGCACAGATTATGTGTTTGTGTCAGAAAAAACTGAAACTTCAATTAAAACTGAGAATGATTTTCCAGTAATAGAGACCAGTAACCTGTTAACCTGTGGTTGCCGTGAGAGTTACCTCTGTAAAGTTAACAGAAAGGAAGATTATGGTAGATGTCTCCAAATCATGCTGGATAAAGGTAAACTGTGGTTTCGCTGCACCTTGTGTTCAGCAACAGCACAGAATGTAACTGACATCAATACTCACATCCATGAAGTGCACAGAGAAGAAAAGAGTGAGGAGGAAAAGGAGCAACGGTATGTCATCAAGTGTGGCACTTGCACCAAAGTGTTTCACGATCCTGAGAGTGCTCAGCAGCACTTCCATAGAAAACACTGCTTTTTACGGAAACCCAGTGTGGCTCATTTCGGATCTGAGAAAACAAGCCTGTACAAGTTTGCTGCCAGTGCCTCACGTCCAGAGAGAAAACTAAAACAGGCAGTAAGCCATCCAAAAAATTCAGAGATGGAGAAGGGAGCCGAGAATGACCTAAGCTGTCAGAATATAGGTATGGCATTACAACTCTAATGTCTGTGCAGATTTCACATACTGATAGAGAAAATACATGTATTGTAGCCATCCTTGTTTTTAAATTTATTTATTTTGAGAGTGTCCACACAAGCGGGGAGGAGGCAGAGAGAAAATCCCAAGCAGGCCCTGCATTGTCAGTGCAGAGCCCAATACAGGGCTGCATCTCACTAATCCATGAGATCATGACCTGAGCCCAAATCAAGAGTTGACACTTGGGGCACCTGGGTGGCTCAGTTGGTTGAGTGTCCAACTTCAGCTCAGGTCATGATCTCACAGTTCATGAGTTCAAGCCCCGCATCAGGCTCTGTGTGCAGACAGCTCGGAGCCTGGAGCCAGCTTCAGATTCTGTGTCTTCCTCTCTCTCTGCCCTACCCAGTCTCACTCCCTCTGTCAAAAATAAACAAACATTAAAAAAAAAAAGGGGTTGACATTTCACCGAATGGGCCACCCGGGTGCACCTGTGGCCATCATTTTTGTGAAAGCTAATAATGATTCAGTTTTGAAGTAAGAAACATGGTGGGATGATACAGTAATCATTATAGCATATACTTTTGGGGGATATGTATTCCTAAATACGAATACATACTAGTATTTAAATATTCATTTAACTACTCTAAACTTAAGGGGACAAAGAGTATATATTAGATTTAAACACTATGTATTTAAGATAACATTGTCTTTTATAAGAAGCATGGGAATTTTGAGAGATGAAGAAAATTGATAGTCTTTCTGAAAGTCAGATTTAAAATTTATATATATATAAATATATATATAAATGTATATAAATGTTATCCTTAACATTTAGATTCTTCTTATCATTTAGAAGGTTCATTAAGAAGATAAATCCGGGGCACCTGGGTGGCGCAGTCGGTTAAGCGTCCGACTTCAGCCAGGTCACGATCTCGCGGTCCGTGAGTTCGAGCCCCGCGTCGGGCTCTGGGCTGATGGCTCAGAGCCTGGAGCCTGTTTCCGATTCTGTGTCTCCCTCTCTCTCTGCCCCTCCCCCGTTCATGCTCTGTCTCTCTCTGTCCCAAAAATGAATAAAAAACGTTTAAAAAAAAAAATTTAAAAAAAAAAAAAAAAAAGAAGATAAATCCAGTGAACTCTTTGTGTTTATATTTTGACTTTATTCTTTTGTTGTTGGAAAATTCTTTTTTTTTATTTAATTAAACTTGTTTTTTTATTCCAGTATAGTTAACATAGTATTATATTCATTTCAGGTGTACAGTATAGTGATTGAACAGTTCTATACAGAACTCGGTGCTTATCATGATAAGTGTACTGTTAATCCCCTCACCTATTTCACTCATCCTCCCAATCCACCTCCCCTCTGATAACCACTAGTTTTCTATATTCAGAGTCTGATTTTTGTCTTTTTTTTTGTTTGGTTGGTTTCTTAAATTACACATGAGTGAAATCATATGGTATTTGTCTTTCTCTGACTTATTTCCCTTAGTATTATACCGTCTAGATCCATACATGTTGCAAATGGCAAGATTTCATTCTCTTTTATGGCTAATATTCCATTGTATATATACACCACATCTTCTTTATCCATTCATCTATCCATGGACACTTGGGTTGTATTTATAAGTTGGCTATTGTAAATACTGCAGTAAACATAGGGGTCCGTATATCTTTTTGAATTAGTGTTTTCATATTCTTCAGGTAATTAGTAGTGGAATTACTGGATCATATGGTAATTCTATTTTTAATTTTTCAAAGAATCTCCATATTTTCCATCGTGGCTGTACCAGTTTGCATTGCCACCAACAGTGTATGAGGGTTCCTTTTTCTCCACATCCTCATATTTTGGCTTTATTCCGTAATTATGAGAAATCTTAATGTTCACTTCAGAATTTATATATTTTTGTTATGATTTTCTGGAAAGCAGAGCTTTTACTTAGACTTAAAATAGCAATTAGAAGTAGAGTTACAAATGGTAGCAGGAAACCAGGGAGAAAATTGAGGTATAGATCCCTTTGTACTTAATGTAGATAAGACTCCCTAAGTGTAGGTGTGCTGGGTGGCTTAGGTGCTGTCAACACAGGTGAGCTTTGGATTCTTTCTCGCCCTCTCTCTCTGCCCCTCCCCCCTCAAAATAAATAAATAAACTTAAAAAAGAGTAAGTCTAGAAGAGGACAATGGTTTTATTTTGTTTAGAAGTATAATTTGTCATGGTTAGAATATAATTTTAAGTCCATATTCTTTTAAATAAACATGAGCTCTTGGTAAGTTACACAGTGTAGAGAGGGGACAATGAGGATATGTGAAAATTTTGGCTAAAATTTTTTTATAAATTATTTTTATGAACTACTGAGTTTATACAGGCTTGCTGTATATAGCGTTTGTAGATCTTAGCATCATTTTTAGTCATGGCATGTTTTATGTAAGAAATGATTACATGACATACTATCAACTCATTCAGTTCTACTTTTAACAGTGAAGCAGTGATTACACTGTTTTTATGTTCTCTTGTGCTTTTCTCTTGTTCTCCCGATTACTTTTGGGAATTTATGTCGGTCTGTGTTTGATAGATGATTGTAGTATCTAAATCTACAATTACTAAGAATTAAAAAAATTTTTTTTTCCTTAGTAATTTCTACACCCAGTGTGGGGCTTGAACTCACAGCTCCGTGATCAAGAGTCACATGCTCCACTGACTGAGCTAGCCAGGGGCCCTTACAATTACTAAGAATTTTAAGACAAGATAAAAGAAGATAGGTGGCTTGGAAATGGGAGAGGATGGCAGTGCAGTATATTTGAGGGAGGCTGTATTAGATGGAGTAGAACCTAGTCATTTTAAAAATAATTTAAAATGTTAAGGTTTGCATTGGTACACTGGAAACTTTAAGGCCTTATCAAGATAGAAAATTATGAAAGAAGTGAAAGAGATGGAGAACAAGAGTTGGAGAATGGTGGAAGAAGAAAGAACTTAAGAGAACCAAGAAAGATGTGTTTATGGTAGGAGGTGCTGATGTGCCACCAGTACCTATTATGCACCACTTTATGGTAGAGGGTTGTCATTTATTTTCATTTGTGCTCTGTAGGGTTTTTAATCACATAGCTAGCAGGTTACTAATAAATCAGTCTAGATTGGGAAAAGAACATAATTCTGGTGGAGAGAAGTTCTTACCAGGTAACCTTGATATTTTATTTTAATATATATATTTTAAATGTTTTTAGTTATTTTTGAGAGGTGAGGGAGCATGAGCAGGGGAGGGGCAGAAAGAGGGGGACAGAGGATCCAAAGCAGGCTCCAGGATGTCAGCATAGAGCCCAGTTCAGGGCTTAAACTTTCACAAACTGTGAGATCATGACCTGAGCCGAAGTTGGATGCTTAACTGACTGAGCCACCCAGGTGCCCCACCTTGAAATTTTATTTGATGGATGGTGCAAGTTTTTGGTTTTTCAGCCTTAAAACTGGGTCTTTTAGTTCTCCCAGTACATTGTTTTTTAATTATCATTTATTTTATTATTATTATTTTATTATATTTTATTATTATAAACAACTTTTAAAGAAAGTCTTAGCTATAACAGATTTGGTAATGATGGAAGTAATTTTGGAAGTGGCGGAAGCTATAATGATTTTGGCAGTTATAACAGTCTTCAAATTTGGGACCCATGAAAAGAGAAAAGAGACAGAAGCTCTGGCCCCTATGGTAGTACAGGCCAACACTCTGCCAATCTACAAAACTAAGATGGCTATGGCAGTTCCAGCAGCAGCAGTAGCTATAGTAGTGGCAGATTTCAATTACTGCCAGGAAACAGCTTAGCAGGAGAGGAGAGCCAGAGAAGTGACAGGGAAGGTGTAAGTTACATGGATTTGTGGACTCAGACCAGCATATTGGTGGCAGAGCCTAGCTGCTACATACAAAGAAGACATGTTTTAGGCAATATTCATGTGTATGGGCAAAAAAAATGAGGACTGTATTTCTGACTAATTGTGTGACAGATTTTTTTAATTTATTTTTTAAAAAAATTTTTAGGGGCGCCTGGGTGGCGCAGTCGGTTAAGCGTCCGACTTCAGCCAGGTCACGATCTCGCGGTCCGTGAGTTCGAGCCCCGCGTCAGGCTCTGGGCTGATGGCTCGGAGCCTGGAGCCTGTTTCCGATTCTGTGTCTCCCTCTCTCTCTGCCCCTCCCCCGTTCATGCTCTGTCTCTCTCTGTCCCAAAAATAAATAAACGTTGAAAAAAAAAAATTAAAAAAAAAAATTTTTAATGTTTATTTTTGAGAGAGAGCAGTGTGCATGCAAGTGGGGGAGAGGTAGAGAGAGATGAAGACACAGAATCCAAAGCAGGCTCCAGGCTCTGAGCTGTCAGCACAGAGCCCAATGCAGGGCTTGAATCCACAAGCCATGAGATCATGACCTGAGCCAAAGTTGGATGCTCAACCAACTGAGCCACCTCAGTTGTGTTTTTGTGTTTTTTTTTTTTTTTTAATTAAAAAGAGAAAGGCTTAGCATCAATGGCATGTATTTATAGAAAGAATAATAAAATTTTGGAAGTATTCAGAATATTTTTTATCTGGTGTAAATATACTGTATCATGTATAGGTTTGGATCTCATGAAAAGGTTTAAGTAGAAATTAATAATACTCAAGATTAATATTTTTGCATATTCTCTAGTATCTTTTAAACTTGAGAAATTAAAGCGTTTTTAGCTAATTCTTACCAAATTCATGTTAATGTTTCTCTTCTCAGATGAAGAAGTTGTTGAACTTCCAGATTTGGATTATCTGCGAACCATGACTCATATAGTCTTTGTAGACTTTGATAACTGGTCAAACTTTTTTGGTCATCTACCAGGGCATCTTAACCAAGGAACATTCATCTGGGGCTTTCAAGGTATGATTGATAAGGAAAACATCTGATACCTTCTCCTCTTTTCTCCATTAGAATATGTTCCACATTAAAAGGATTGCTCTTGAACCTTCTTGAATAGAACATACAAACGTAATTGCAATATTGTCACTTTGCATTGTAGCTACTTTGCCAGAATATTTTTCTCTTTACATTTCTTTGTGGTGAATGTTAGCTCTCTTTGGTGACCTAAAGTTTGTGGATCTTTTGATACGTATTGAAAAAACATTTATTCAGCACCTACAATGTGCCAGGTACTAATGCTTGGTATTAACCCATGCTTACTGATTATTATATTTATCTCCTTCTTAAAACATAAGGCAGGATGCATGAGAAGTTTATTTTTTCCAAAGTGTAAAACTAATAAATAATAGAGTTAGCTTTTGAACTTGGAACGCTTGGCTACAGAACTCGTATGATTTTCAAATTGCCATAATTGCCTCTTCAGTTCATCCTTACTGAACTGAAGTTCATAAATACGCAACTTCATCTAAATATTTCTTTACAAACCATTGACCAAACAGGGAGAGAGATGACTATGATTTACGGAAGTTTAGTATAGTGAGCATCCAATAAACTTCATGTTTGATAGGCAACAGCATATAAGAGGATGATTTGGGGTGCCTGGGTGGCTCAGTTGACAGCTCAGGTCATGATCTCACGGTTCGTGGGATTGAACCCTGTGTTGGGCACTGCACTGACAGCATGTTGCCTGCTTGGGATTCTCTCTGTCCTTCCCCCCCCACCTCACACTCTCTCTCTCTCTCTCTCAAAATAAGTAAATAAACATTTTAAAAATAATTTTAAAAAAACAAAGAGGAGGACTGGTTTTAGGATAGAGACATACTGACCTCAAAAAAATTAAAAAAGAAACGTACTGACCTGGATAAATACTCTAGTACAACCTTTTAGTAAATTTAGCTTTGCTGATTGCCTATCATTTCTATCCACTGAATAGTCTTGACATATTTGTTAAAAACAAAACAAAACAAAATTAATGCTTACATTTATATGGAATTATACCAGTCAGAGACTCCTTACACATAATTACTTTTGATTTTCCTTAACATAACCTATGAGTTTTCAGATTAATGAGCAGATGCAGGGAAGGTGGCCTACTTTGCCAAGATTGTAAAGCAACAAGATGGTGATGCCTATACTAGAACTGAGTTCTGCATTCTAATCTAGTACTTGCCCTCTAAAAAAATCTTTTTCTAGTGTGTTTTTTCTTGATAGAGCTTTCAGTTGTAGCTACTGTTCAGTTCTCTTTTTTTCTCTGTTTGACTATCATTTATGCCTTTTCTAAAAATAATAGGAGGAAACACCAATTGGAAGCCTCCACTCAACTGTAAGATCTATAATTACCTGAATAGGATTGGATGTTTCTTCCTTCATCCTCGTTGTAGTAAAAGAAAAGATGCTGCTGATTTTGCCATATGTATGCATGTGAGTGATTGTTTTATTCAAAATCTAATGTGAATCTAGGACCCATTTGGAATTTTTTTTTCCACTTGAATCGTAATGACAGTATAGAGCATTCTTCAGTGCTATATTTTTGTATAAAATCTTCTACATAAGATTCTGCTGATGACTAATGAGAGCAAGGACCCATATCATACTTATTTACTGCTTTCCCCAATTCCTAGCAGACTCCCAGCTACCCATTGTAAACCCTCAACTATTTATAGAATAATGATCAATAGATGACAGTGTATTTGATGTATGCTGAAATACTTTCACATTTTAACATCTCTGAAATTGGGAGACACCTTAACAATCACTGTTGGCCTAGGTGAAATTTGCATTTGCTTCTCTGTCTGCCAGTCACCTAGAGAAACTACCAACCTGAGACCCATTTTAAATTAAATTCTCTGCTTAAATGTAAGTCAGTTTACATGTCGCACTGATAACATGAATTTACTCTGTAACCTTGTTAACTCCTGCTTACATTTTAAACCACAAAACATTTTCTTTTCCATCTATTCAGTGCTAAGATTGAATTATGCAGATTACCTTGCTTACCTTCTCTCTATGGCAGATTTATTTCTTATTTATCCTTAGATTAAGTGTGTAAGTAACCCTTGTAGCATTCCAGCCTCTTATTTGACTTCTTTTGGTATTTTTTTTTTCTTTCTTAGTGGCACATAAAATAGCTTATCTTATAATTCGTGGCAGTTTACATTTGATTAAATGTGTTATATTTTATTTATGAAGGAGATCTTTGTATCATACTTTGGTGGGAGCTAGAGAACAAGTTAAATAAACCTTTTTAGGGGTGCCTGGCTGGCTCAGTTAGTGGAGTGTGCAACTCTTGATCTCGAGGTTGACTTTGAGCCCCATGTTGAGTGTAGAGACTACTTTAAAAAAATAATAAAATCTTAAAATAAATAAACCTTTCTAGGTATGTGTTCATACTGAAATAGATGTAATGGTTTAAAACTCAAATACTGATTTTTATCAACATATGCGTTTTGTTCCAACTTAGGCTGGCCGTCTAGATGAACAACTACCCAAGCAGATTCCTTTCACCATCCTCTCAGGAGATCAAGGTTTTCTGGAGCTAGAGAACCAATTTAAGAAGACTCAGAGGCCAGCACATATACTAAACCCTCACCATTTAGAGGGAGATATGATGTGTGCCTTGTTAAATAGCATATCTGATACTACCAAAGGTACGCAGCTGCAGTCACAGTGCAAACCACCCAAGAGGAGGAGACTTCACTGCTGAGAGAAACCAATAAACTGCTGTCCACTAGTGAACTACTGGCTGCTCACTAAAGCATCATGCTCTCATACTTTTTTTATTTTTTCCTTTTCTCCCTTTCATTTTTTAGTGTTTTAGAGAAAGGATGATTTCATAATTTTCTGAAGCCTTTTCTGATCTAATAGATAAAATCTGTGTTCATGTATATAAAATACATATTCATGATTTGAAATATGTTAGTATAATTTTGCAAAGCTCAGAATCCAGATTTTCACTATTTCTGAAATTCCAAATTTATCTTCAATTTTTCTGAAAGCTAATTGCTTATAGATTAAACCAGAAAGAATAAATAATACTATGGCAATTAAAAAAAAAAAGATCATTTTAAGAGATTGGCAGGGATGAAATGAAGCCCTGAGAGAGGTTTAGTTCCTTGAAAGAGGTACCTTCCTGTCCTATTCCCAGGACTTAAACTCTCTTCTCTGACATTCTGATATTCAATGAAAGGACGTGCTAATGTTCACTTTCACTACCAAGCATTTAAGAAAGGATGTAATTCTAGGGAATCAGATGAGTTTTTTTCATAATTTCTGAAGTAAATGTGAATAGAAGAAAAGAACAAAAGAATAATTTTTAAATATCCTAATGGCTTCCAGTCATGAATAAGATTTGAAGATATTGATGAATGACCTCAATGAAAACGTATCTTTGGCATTTTTATCAAAAGCTTTAGTTTTTTTTTAACACTTAATTTATTTTTGAGAGACAGAGACAGAGCATGAGCAAGGAAGGGGCAGAGAGAGAGACACAGAATCTGAAGCGGGCTCCAGACTGTAAGCTGCCAGCACAGAGCCCAATCCGGGGCTTGAACCCACAAACTGTGAGTTCATGACCTGGGTCGAAGTCGGCCACTTAACCGACTGAGCCACCCAGGCGCCCCTTTATTATATGCTTTAAATTTTCCAACTCTGCTGTCCGCCTAGGTATTTTTTTCTTTCAACATTTTTGGAGCCACATTTTGATTGAAAACCCATTCTGAAAAATTTTGCTCTAATCACTCATTACAGTGGATCAGTTTACTTCTGCCAAGTTAGGAATCTTTAATCTACTAGCCCAACTCTACTCTTTCAAGGAAAATCAACTCTGTTTTGCATATTTATGTCATTCTCTAGTACTGAATTTTATCTTCCTGTTCTGTAATTTTTGTTTTCATCTGTTTGCTTTTTCTATCTCTGGCTGCTCTTTTTTTTTTTTTTAATCTTTTTCTTTTATTTTTTTGCCATCCTGTCCCCAGTCCTTAACAACATCCACTTAATATCCTGTGAAATACCTAAATTTTTACCTTCTGCCACCCTAGACCACCTTTTTTCCCTTTTCTTATGCTGCTGATTTGGGAAACATTTCTTTGGTAATTTCCAACGTGAAACTTATTATCGGTTTGCCTTTCTTACCAACTTGATTTGGAATGAGAGCTGCATATAAGTAGGTCTGCATGGGTGTATTAGGGTTGGAGGTAAGATATAGGTTATTATATTCTGATTGTTCCCCTCTCAGTGCCCCTTATGCTCTAGGTGTGTGTGTTTTTTTTGTTTTTTTTTAATCAGTTCATAATCAGTGCTCTTATGAATTTACTGCTCTTTGAGGGCACCTGTGTACTTTATTCTGAATTTTTATGAAATGCAGAGATTGTACTACAGTGCATAAAAGAAGGGCATGGGCTTTGGTTTGAATGCTAACTTTGCTGCCTCCGTGCTGTGTGATATCAGGCAAGTTACTGAACCTTTTCTGAGCCTCACTTTTCATATCTATAAAGTCGTAAGAATTAATGATACGTATAAAATGTCTAGCACAGCATATAAAGTACTGTGGGTATTTAATAGCAGCTATTTTTATTATTACTACCATAAGAAAAAAATATGATTCCTAGCCACTACTTTTTATTTCTGTTTTTTCTAATATTTTTTATTGTGGCAAAATATATGGAAGATTCACCATCTTAACCATTCTGAAGTGTATGTATATAGTTCACTGGTGTTAACTACATTTACATTTTGTGCAGCCATCACCATCATCCATTTTCAGAGCTTTTTTCATCTTGCAAACTGAAGCTTTATACCCATTAAACAGTAACTTTGCACTCCCCTTTCCCCAACCCCTGGCAAATACCATTCTTCAGTATTTTGACTAAGTACTTCATATAGGTGAAATCATACAGCATTTGTCTTTTTGTGGCTGCCCTGTTTCACTTAGCATAATGTCCTCAGGCTTTATCCAGGTTATAGCAAATGTTAGAATTTCCTTCCTTTTTAAGGCTGAATGATATTCCATTGTATGTATAGACTTTTGTGGGAAATCAAATAGGTATGTCCTGGGTTAAGAGATTATAAGGGAACACATTGCAAAGCAGAAAACTGCTTTCTGGCCTTGCTGAAAACAGCAGCCAAGCTTTGTTAATATATACCTAGGGGTTAGGTCCTGCCTATGCTCACAAATTCCTTAGACCATGTTATCACATGGAATATTTTACCCTGTCTTAACTTGTTTTTCTGCACGTTTCCTGTACATTCTTAGTGGCATGTAGCCCACTGAGTATTGCACAATGTTATCCTAAATGTCTGCTCGATAAACATGGGAGCTTGAGAGCAGCTCGGAGAGACTTCCCTAAGCCTCCCTCTCACCTCTCTTGACTTGCATGGAATCTTGAGCAATCCTTTCTGCCATCCTCAGCCTTTCTGGACAAAGCCAAAAGCTGAACCCACAGACTGTTTTTTGCTTATCTGTTTGTCCATCAGTGGATGCTTACATTGTATCCATGTTTTAGCTCTTGTGAATAACTGCTATGAACATAGATGCACAAATATCTCTTCAAGACCTTGCTTTTTATTTCTTTTGAATATATACCCAGAAGTGTAATAGCTGGATCATATGCTAATTCTATTTTTAATTTTTTGAGAAACTTCATACTGTTTGCCATAGTGACTATATCATTTTACATTCCTACCAACAGTGTACAAGGGTTCCAAGTGTTCTGTATCCCTGCTAACACTTGTTGTTTTCTTTTTTTTTTTTTTTTTTTTTTTTTTTTTTTTTTTTTTTTTTTTTTTTAAATTTTTTTTTTTTCAACGTTTATTTATTTTTGGGACAGAGAGAGACAGAGCATGAACGGGGGAGGGGCAGAGAGAGAGGGAGACACAGAATCGGAAACAGGCTCCAGGCTCTGAGCCATCAGCCCAGAGCCCGACACGGGGCTCGAACTCACGGACCGCGAGATCGTGACCTGGCTGAAGTCGGACGCCCAACCGACTGCGCCACCCAGGCGCCCCAACACTTGTTGTTTTCTAGGTTTTGTTTGTTTTTTATAGTAGTCATCCTAATTGGTATGAAGTGGGATCTCATTGTGGTTTTGATTTCCATTTCCCTAACAATTAGTGATGTTGAGCATCTTTTAATTTTTTTAAATTTTTAAAGTTTATTTATTTTGAGAGAGAGGGAGCGAACACACAGAGGAGGGGCAGAGAGAGAGGGAGACAGAGTCCCAAGCAGGCTCCGCACTGTCAGCGCAAAGCCTGACATGGGGGTCGAACTCATGAGCCATGAGATCATGACCCAAGTGGAAGTCAAGAGTCAGACGCTTCCGACTGAGCCATGCAGGTGCCCAAGCATCTTTTCATGTGCTACAGCCACTACATTTTAAAAGTAATGAAAATTACTAAAATTAAGTGGCCAAAGATGTGTAGACTCCTTCAATCATGAGTTTTCATTTAGACCTAGATTTAAAGATACTTACGTAGCTAGCTCTAAAATTCAAAAAAATTCAAAAAAATAAGGTATACTGAATCACAGTATGTTCAGATTCAGTTGAAGACAAATTTTTTTCTTTATGGAAGGCTTAAAGACATCAAATTGACTAGTAGTGAACTTTATAATAAGAAAAAGAACAGTCCTTGGATAACTTTATTCCATCACCTTTCCTAATAAATGGCTTTGAAAAATAGTAGAATAATAGCGTTTGTTTAAAAATGATATTTGATATATATTGGGATTTAGAAAATTTCTCAGTGTCCACAAATACTGTCATTCTTCTTAGGCCTTTAAGGTACTTTTGGTTACCACAAGAATGCCAGGGTAACTCCTCCCTCCTAGCTTATTAGCACAGTGTTCCTATCTTTAGATTTGAAAATAAGACCGTTTGGGGTGGAAATCATTGGACCTTTCTGAAAATCTGACAAAAAGCTATGTTTCTTTCCTCAAAAATGAACAGGTATAGGAGCACCTGGGTAGCTCAGTTCGTTGAGCATCTGACTCTTAATTTTCGCCCAGGTCATGATCTCAGGGTCCTGAGATTGAGCCCTACAAGAGATTCGTCACTGACGGTGGAAGCTGCTTAAGATTCTCTCTCCCTTGGGGCGCCTGGGTGGCGCAGTCGGTTAAGCGTCCGACTTCAGCCAGGTCACGATCTCGCGGTCCGTGAGTTCGAGCCCCGCGTCAGGCTCTGGGCTGATGGCTCAGAGCCTGGAGCCTGTTTCCGATTCTGTGTCTCCCGCTCTCTCTGCCCCTCCCCCGTTCATGCTCTGTCTCTCTCTGTCCCAAAAATAAATAAACGTTGAAAAAAAAAAAAATTAAAAAAAAAAAAAAAGATTCTCTCTCCCTCTCCCTCTGTCCCTCCTCTGCTTGTATGCTCTCTCTTTCTCTCTCTCTCTCTCTTTAAAGTTTGTTTGAGAGAGAGCACACACACATGCAAGTTGGGGAGAGGCAGAGAAAGAGGGAGAGAGAGAATCCCAGGCAGGCTCCACACTGTCAGCAGAAGGCCTGATGTGGGGCTCGAACTCACAAACCATGAGATCATGATCCAAGCCAAAGTTGGATGCTTAACTGACTGAGCCACCCAGATGCCCCACCCCTTTCACTCTAAAATTAAAAACAGAAAAACTTGTATATGCAACATCAAATACAATTTCAGGGGCTTTGTGGTCTCAAGGCTCCTAGTTACTGATTAACCCACAAAACTCTTTAGAATATGACAAAAATTCATACTGCAAGTAACATACAGTGAGAAGTTCTCTCATATTAGTCATTATTTTATAGGCAGTTTGCTGATTTTTCAGGTTTTATAAATCTGCATCATAGCATAAACAAATGATAGAAGTTTGAACCTAAAAAAAAAAAAAAAGAAGAAGTTTGAACCTGTTATTTCTTTATAATTTTTCAGAAATTTTCTATTGTTAGGACCAGAAAGTGATATTACTGAACTGGAGCTTCCTATATAAACAAGGAAGAATCTATTGAATAGTAGTGTCATGAGAATCTGTGACAATGTTGTATCTTTAGTTTTTGCCAGTTTTTCAGTTAATGGAAGGTTTTTTTCACTAAGTATTTTTCACAATAGAAATAAATACAGTCTGAGTGGCTGGTTCCCTATATAAATGTCAAGTCAGTTCACCATAAGATATTACTTTTTTTTGCTTGGTAGGGAGGGAACAGCTAAGTGCTTTACTACTGGTACTTTTTAAAATCTCTCAGAGCCAAAGCATAAGAGACTCTCAAAAACTGAGAACAAACTGAGGGTTGATGGGGGGGTGGGAGGGAGGGAAGGGTAGGTGATGGGCATTGAAGAGGGCATCTTTTGGGATGAGCACTGGGTGTTGTATGGAAACCAGTTTGACAATAAATTTCATATATTAAATCTCTCACTTAGAGTAAGTCATTTACTCTTTCTGGCAACATAACCCTTTAGACTAAATTTGAGATTTGAACGTGGCATGGCTTTTGCCCTGTAAATTAAATTCTCTCTCCTTCTAAGCCTCAAGATTCAATCACCTACATTTTGATTACAGCTATGATAAATATATAAATCTCTGTAGAGCTATTTTAAAACATCTATTAATTTGACACCTTTGGCCCTCTTATCCTTCATTAGTTCTATTTTATATTGTACTCACTTTTTTTAAATGTTTATTAATTTATTTTTGAGAGAGCACAAGCAAGGGAGGAGCAGAGAGGATGGGGGAGACACAGAATCTGAAGCAGGCTCCAGGCTCTGAGCTGACAGCTCAGACATGGGACTTGAACCCACAACCACGAGATCATGACCTGAGCCAAAGTTGGACGCTCAACCAACTTAGCCACCCAGGCGCCCCAGTTGTTCTCACTCATTTAAAACTTTACAGGGGATGCCTGGGTGGCTCAATTATTTAAGCATCTGGCACTTTTAGTTTTTAATGTTTATTTATTTTGAGAGAGAAATCATCAGTGGAGAGGCAGAGAGAGGGGAAGAGAGAATCCCAAGCAGGCTCCATGCTCTCGGCACAGAGCCCAATGCTGGGCTTAATCTCAGGAACCATGAGATCATGACATGAGCTGAAATCAAGAGTCAGTCCACTGACTGAAATCAAGAGTGAGCACCCCAGGTGCCCCTAAGTGTCCAACTCTTGATCTCTACTCAGGTCTTGATCTCAGGGTCGTGAGCTCAAGCCCTGCATTGATTCCATGCTGGGTGTGAAGCATACTTAAAAATTAAAATGAAAAAAAAACTTGCCAAGAAACATGGATCCTTTGTAGTAATCCTAATCAGAGGAGCCAGGTATACTTTCTCTTCCTCTAGACCCTTTTTTTTTTTTTTTTTTTTTTTTTTTTACATTTTATTCACAAATATATGTTCATTCTGACTCGACTCATATTCCGAAGATGCAAATATAACTTGTCACTTAAATGTTTTTAAGGAGAGAAAAGGAACTAATCTTTATTGAGGGCCTACAATGTGCCAGCCACTCTCCTGGCTGCTTTTTATATTTGTAGTGGTTGAATATGTTTAAACATGTTTAAAGAACAACTTCCACATGTTATTTAATTACCTTTTCAACACTGTGAGGTAGGATGTGTTAAGATCATCCCATTTCGTGGAGGTCCAGAAAGGTTAAAATAAGCTACCTGTGGCCACACAGCAAGTATTTTTCTCTTTATCAGTATCTCCTGGTCAGGCTGAGCCTTTTACTGATACAAATATCTGATTTTATGATGTAGAGAATCCAGTGCGAATTATTGACTCTAACCATCTCCTTGAAAAGATAAAGACGTTTTGCTGTAGTGTTGACAACACAATTGCAGAGTTTATATAAAGATACCAAATATGAGAGTTTAACAAAAATAACATTTTGGAAGATGTATGGGGGTGGACAGAAAATTAAAAGATTTGATTGTGAGTTTTGGTATTGCTGATTATATATCAAACACAGCCAAGGAAAGTGATCAGCGCTGTGAGTTCCCTAATATCTTTCATAAAAACAAACAAACCCCTATCTTAGCCATACTTTATAATGGCTGAATTTCTACATTACCTTTTCTTTCTTTTTCTTTCTTTCTTTTTTCTTTCTTTCTTTCTTTCTTTCTTTCTTTCTTTCTTTCTTTCTTTCTCTCTCTCTCTCTCTCTCTCTCTCTCTCTCTTTCTCTTTCTTTCTTTTTCTTTCTTTCTTCCTTTCTTTTTTCTTTCTCCATTGGTGGCAATTGCTTATATAAAAAGTTCTGGAGGTGCCTGGGTGGCTCAGTGGGTGAAGCCTCCAACTCGATTTCGGCTTGGGTCATGATCTCCCCACTTGGGATTCTCTTTCTCCCTCTCTCTCTGCCCCCCCCCCTCCCCTGCCACTTGCTCTTTCTCTCTCTAAATAACTAAACTTTAAATAATTAAAAAAAAAAAAAGAATTCTATGGGCTCTTAGAGATCTAATTATATAACAGAACTTAGCTGTATCTTGTAGTTTAGTTGAATATTGATTTATGTAAAATTTTCTTTTTAAAAACATAGTTTTGTATGTTCAGTTGTTTATAGTTCTTTAGTAATTAAACATCTTCTTTGAGTTTTATGTAAAGTATTAACTTCCCTAGAATATTTTTTCAAGGTTGAACTTGATATTATGAATTAATTCAGTCTGAAAGCAGATTTTACTATGCTTCAAGATAATTTTTGTTGAATCTGAGTACCATAGGGCCTAGGACTTTGTCATATCTGTTTGGTGTATGTCATCATTTTGGAATGAATGGATGGAAGGAAGCATTAAGTATCATTGGTATCTATGGAATCATACCAATTACACAAAAATTTTTAAGTTTTTATTTATTTTGAGAAAGATACAGAGACCAAGTCGGGGAGGGACAGGGAGAGAAACAGACAATCCCAAGCAGGCTCCACACTGTCAGCACAAAGTCCGATGCAGGGCTCAAACTCGGGAACCATGAGATCGTGACCTGAGCAAAATCAAGAGTTGGACGGTTGACTGGGCCACCCAGGCGCCCCCCCAATTACACAAATTTTTAAAGCCATCTTAAGTATGAAACATAAAAGTTCACCCATGTCATGAAAATGTGGCTGACAGAAGTAGCATCATGCTGTATCCAGTAGTCATTATATAAAATAATTGTTGAACTTAATTCTAAAAGTCTGCCAGTTGTTTCTTCATCCTGTTACTGAGACTATCCACAGGTTGTTGGTTAGGACACCATCCTAAAAATCTATGTGATACAATTAATTCTTTGTAAGTCAATGAAAACAGGAAAGAATACTCATGATTTTCTCTGTTCTACAGGTGGGGCTGACTGAGGCAAAGAAAACCTTTTTTAATTTTTGCAACCTAGTGTCATGCTAATCCTTGTGATTCAAACCTACACTTTTGCCTAAGCCTTGTATGCAATGATGAATTGTTTAGTCCAGTTAAAACATTCTGCTTTTGACTGGCATTGATTTTGAATTGAAATAACAGAAACCTTGGGTACTTTCTCATTGTTTCTAATGTCTTAAGGCTTAATTTATTGTTCTTCAGATTGTAAATGTAAAGTTTTATTTCCCTAAAACATAGCTTGAAATATTTGAGTTTGTAAGTGTACATAACAGATTATAAAAACAGCATTAGTATTTTTGCTGGAATGGCAAAAGATGGCTTACAACAAATTTCTTCAACAAAGAAATATAAGTGAAATATAGTGATTTTTATTTATAAATACTAAAAATCTTAAATTTTTAAATGTATATTTAAGTTTTTACCTATTTTCCACAAAAGCAAATATGTCCATATGACTTATATTCAGGTATTTAATTTCTGATTCAGTCACTATGATGTATATATTGATTTAAATGTAGTTAAAGTGATAAATCAAGTCTTTGCTCACTGGTTCAAATTTTAAGTGACTTTTGCAATACCTGATCAGTCATATCATTTTTATATAGACTTAGGTTTTTCATTATGAAAGTATATAAGACATCAGGTAAGTGAGTTTGTGCCATGAAGAAGTATTGCTAATTTAAGCCTGTGGTCTCTATGGCAATGATGCATGATAGTCAAAATATAGAAGAACTTTATCTCATCATTTTAGAAATTTTAAGATGATTTCATGTAACTTAAACTTGGGAGTTTATTTGCTAGATTTAAACAAGCATACTAGCTTTTCTTAATTTCTAGGTTTTTTTAATAATAGAATTTTATATTCATTAACAGTTGTGCTAAAATAAATTTTTCAAATAATTTGAATATAGAGCTGAAATTGAATTAATTTCATTAGCCTTTTTTCCCCCTTGATTTATTTAAGTAGTATTTGGTAAGCATTTTTTAAAAGGAAACCTATAGGAAAAGTGGTATAATACTAATGAATTGTAATTAGAAAGCTTTGCTATGGTAGAAGTGATTGAAAATAATATTGTTTGAGACTACATAAATGATGGCACAATAACTGTTTCAGAAATATATTTGTATTTATTCTGCCTTACAGAATGTGATAGTGATGATAACCTGGGTATAAAAAATACTTCAATAGAAGAAGAATTCACATCCACAGAAGGTAACCTAATGGAGTTAATCCTTTTCCTACTTCACTGTATCTGTATTTTTTAATTGCTCCCCTTCTTACCACTTCATCCACTCCTACTCCCTCCTATTAACCTCCTACCCCTGAGTTTCAGAAATATTGTTTCCTTGTTTAAAGGAGAGTTTGCATTTTTTTTTTTTTTGAGAGTTTGCATTTTCTTATGGAAGTTGAATCAAGGACAAAAGCCTAAAATAATTATTTTCTGACCCTTTGCAGAAAAAGTTTTCTAACCCTAGGCTAGGAGAAGATTTTGGTTTCCTAATTTTTCTTTATTTCAAGTAGTATTGAATTAAGAATATTATAAGTTAGGGGCACCTGGGTGGCTCAGTCAGTTAAGCATCCAACTCTTGATTTCATCTAGGGTCATGGTCTCACGATTCATGGGATCAAGCCCCGCAAATCCTCCACTAGTGCGGAGCCTGCTTGGAATTCTCTCTTTCCCTCTCTTTCTGCACTTTTCCCCCTTGTGCATACATGTTCTCTCTCTCCTTCTCTCTTTCTGTCAAAAAACAAGAATATTACAAGTTGAATGTGGAACTATGAAAACAAGCACTTCTATCTGCTTATTAATGGGCTGTTTCTATAAATTAAGTCTTTCCCTCTTCTTAAAGGAAAAGCTGTTTTCTTCCATAGGTTAAAGAGAACTTTTTTATTCACATTGAATAGTTTCCTGGCTGTACCACTATTTAGTTGTGTCATATGCTTTTATTTTGGTTTTTCCATAACAGACTGTGCTTTTTAATAACCATAGGGAAAAACAAAACAGTGATTTTAGAAAATGGTTTAAGCTTCACTGAAGAAGTTTAACTATTTCAATGACATCTTTAACCTTAAAGGACAACAGAAGTCTTAATATATTCCAATAAAGTATTTGTTGTTGGAGATTTGAGAATGGGAATGTGGAGACTAGAATGTAGGGAGGAAAATGTGGCTAAACAAGCATAGAATAGCCCAACTGATTTATTTTCTGTATTTGCTTGATCTCTCACATAATGCAATTGTTTAAGAGCATACCCTGGGGGCTCCTGGGTGGCTCAGTCAGTTGAGCCTCCAACTTTGGCTCAGGTCATGATCTCTCGGTCTGTGAGTTCAAGCCCCACGTGGGGCTCTGTGCTGACAGCTCAGAGCCTGGAGCCTGTTTCAGATTCTGTGTCTCCCTCTCTCTCTGCCCCTCCCCCAGTCATGCGCGTGCGCGCTCTCTCAAATAAATAAGCATTAAAAAAAATTTTTTTTTAAAAGAGCATACTCTGTGCTATTAGGAGTTTAGGAATTTGAGTCTGGCAGTGGACTTGATTCATCAAGACTCTAGTCTTATAACCAAAATTCAGTGGTTAAATAAAGTTGGCAGTAAATCTACAACCTAAATGGAAGCAAGTTTTTTTGACCATCTTGTTTTCCCAACATGGTTTTTCAAGGTCTAGCTCACTGCTTAGCAGCCACATAATAATGAGTTAAACAAATGAAAGAACTTTTGTGAGTTAAAAACAAAAACAAAAAATAAAAACAAAAAACCTGCCACCTAAGTTGTTTATCAAGACCACTAAAAGATAAACACCACTGAGCATCTAAGTAGTTCAGACTTGGCAGGCTTTATTTTCCACTCATGACTTAATCCCATGGAAAATGCCACACAAAATTATAACTTTTAAATAACCACCCTTGAGGAAGGAGCTTTCACAGTTTTTATGATTCCTAGCTGACCCAGGAAATCTGAGATATGTATAATGCAATGTGTACCAGAGTTTCTAACATTTTGTTATCTCTGGCTGTTTTATGATTTGGAGAGTTTTTACATTTTTGTGATTCTTCAGTTTGGCAAAAAGATTGCTATTAAAGAATTCAGGAAAAGATACTTTAAACTACTTGTCATATGAGGTAAGAATGTAATGCTCTAATTCTAAGAAAAATCAAAGTGTTATGTGCGTGGGTTTTTTTTTTTTTTTTTTTTTTTTTTTTTTTTTTTTCTGATGTTTTATATAAATAAGTTTGACAGCCCACAGTGTTCCATGTTAAGTTAAGGAATTTGGTCTCTTCTGCAGTTTCCTCTGATACTCTTCTTTTTCCCCTTTCACCCAACAAGAACTAGCTCAAATATCATCTCTTAGGTTGAACCGTAGAGACTTGACATTTTGTAGGCATTGTTGTTTGGTTATTACTTTTAGAGTTACCCTTTTTAGAGAGAGCTAACTGCTGCCTCCTCTAGCCTTCCTCTGTACCATACCAAACATATTTATCTGCTTGTGTATTATCCCCTTGAGAAGTAGGATCATGTGTTTTGTTGTTGTTTTGTCTTTTTTTCAATAGCACCTAGCTCCTAGTGTTTGGCACTAAAATGATTGCCTGTTGAAGAATATACTTATAACAAACTCAGAATATGTTAGAGCTGGCAGGACCCATCTCTCTAAAGCTAAGTAAGGGAAATTAAGATTAAGGCCATTTGGGGGTGCCTGGGTGACTTGATTGAGCATCTGACTTCGGCTCAGGTCATGATCTCGAGGTTCGTGAGTTCCAGCCCCTCATTGGGCTCGCTATTGTCAGCACAGAGCCCGCTTTGGGTCCTCTGTCCCCCTCTCTCTCTTCCCCTCCCCATGTCTCAAAAAAATTTTTTTAATTAAAAAAAAAAAGATAAAGGCCATTTGGGTGAGAGAAGAGTGGGTGATTTATTGACCCTGCACCATGGAAGCAAAGTGGTATTTTAGTGCAGACTTATTAGCAAAACTTAAAAAAAAGGTTAAATAACTTCTCAAGCCTCTTTTCATTCTTTTTCTTTCCGGCACAACATTGTAACTGCCTGACAAATAGTGGCAAAAGGCAGGATAAATCTTGTGACTTTTTGCCTTGAGGAATGGTAGTTTCCTTACCCACACTATGTACCCCCATGATGATTTGTCTCATTCTTTGCTGCTGTTCTCTATAGACCAGTATCAGACTCTGACTACCCATGCCAATCATAAATATCTTCTGTAATCTATTTTGTATACCAGACAGGGGAAGTAGGGACCACATAGTATGGTGGTATAGAGTGCAGACTTTGGATTCAGACTGCCTTGGTTAAAAACTCAGCTCTCAATTAATAGCAGTCATCATATAATTAATATTATAAGTAGTAAAACATTGTGGCTAGTTGAATGAACAAATACAGAATAAGAGAGAATAATATGTTTATTTTTTAATTCAGTTAATGTTTAAGAAAACACTAATCTCAACAGCTCTGTGAGAGTCAGAATATTCTCTTCATTTTACATAAAAATGTAGTCTTCTAAACATTAAGTAATTTGCCTCCAGATTCTCAGTCTCAGAATGATGGGGCATGATTCATATATAAGTATCCTAACTCCTATTACTGAGTTCTTGCCTATTCTGCAGTAATTACCTCTTTTTCAAAGAGAATGAAATTAAGGCAAAGACCTACTTCCCACAAATTCTCTTTATTTCTTCATATAGCTTTCCGTTATTGTTTAATGTTCTTTCATTTCAACCAGATGGATTCCCTTTAGCATTTCTTGTAAGGCAGGTCTGCTAGTAACAAACTCCCTTACCTTCTGTTTATATGGGAAAGTCTTCATTTCTCCTCCATTCTTGAAGACTAGTTTTGCTGGGTATAGAATTCTTGGTTTATAGGTCTTTTTTCCAGCACTTTAAATATGTTATCTCACTGCCTTCTGGCCTCCATGGTTTGATGAAAATTAAGCTATTAATTTTATTATTGAGAATTTCTTATACATGATGAATTGCTTCTCTCTTGCTGCTTTTGTTGTTTTTGGCTTTTGACAGTTTGATTATAATGTGTTTCAATGTGGATCTCTTTCAGTTTCTTCCTGGAATTTGTTGAGCTTCTTGGATGCATAGGTTCATATCTTTCATCAAATTTGGACTATTTGTTTGCCATTATTTCTTCAAATATTCTTTCTGCCCCTTTCTCCTTCTGGGGCTCCCATAATGCCTGCCTTACTGCATTTGATGGTACTCCACTGGTCTCTTAGCCTCTGCTTGCTTTTCTCCATTTTTCTTTCTGATCTTCAAACTGGATAAATTGCCCTATCCTCAAGTTTGCTGATTCTTTTTTTTCTGTTTGCTTAAATTTGTTAAACTTTTATAATGAATTTTTCATTTCAATTGTACTTTTCAGCTCCAGAAGTTCTATTTGCTGGCTTCTCATACTTTCCATCTCTTCATTGATAACTTCATTTTGTTCATACATTGCTTTCCTGGTTTCCTTTAGTTCTTTGTCCATAATATACTTTAGCTCTTAGAACTTATTTAAGACAATTGATATAAAGGCCTTGTCCAGGAAGTCCAATATCTAGGCTTTCTCAGGGACAGTTTAATTCTTTTTTTTTTTTCCCCTTCAAATGGGTCATACATTTCTGTTTCTTTGTATTCTTTGTTTTTGTTGTTGTTGAAAACTGGGTATGCAAATACTACGGTACCTCTGGAAATCAGATTATATCTCTTCCCCACAGTTTGCTGTTATTATTAAAGGTTGTAACTGTCTGTCTGGTTGGTTGCTTTTCCAAACTACAGTTGACCCTTAAACCCAATGGGTTGGGGCACTGACACCACCCAACACACAATCAGAAATTTATATTCCCAAAAATTTAACTGCTAATAGCCCGCTGTTGACTGGAAGCCTCACCAATAACATAAACTGTCGATTAACACATATTTTGTATGTTATATGTGTTATATACTATTTTCTTAAATAATCTACAGGAAAAAAAATGAAGAAAACCATAAGGAAGAGAAAATACATTTATAGTACTGTACTGTATTTGTATTTATCAAAATCCATATAAAAGTGGACCCACACAGTTCAAACTTGTGTTGTTCCAAGATCAACTGTATTTTTGCAAAAAATACATGTCTGGTCCTCAAAGTATCTAAGTCTCTATTTTTTTAATTTTTTTTTTTTTTTTAATAGTATCCACACCCAACATGGGGCTCGAACTCACATGCTCTTCCAACTGAGCCAA